CTTTTGCTAACGGTTCAGTTTTTTGTAGCACTAGGCTTGTCCAAATTTCCAAATATATATATTTTCTGAAGTAACCAGTTATATTCGGCCTATTCTAATTCTAGAACATAAAATGTCAAACATCTCAGGTGCCATTCGAAACAACTTTTTCTCCTCCTTCTGACAGATTGTTCTTGGCAAGGCACGCGATATTTGCTTGTAAAATCGCAGTATTTCTCAATTTTACGAGGGCACACTGACGTACCCTTAATCTCGAAATCTTCATAATTTGCGTGACTCATTCACTTTTTAAGGATGATAATAGTAATAATCGAATTTTGAAACCTCGTATTCTGTGAATTTTGTGTTTCAAGCATCAACGTTATGCGGTTTTTCTCAAAATCAAGAATTTTGGAAAATTACTCAAGAAAATACTGAAAGTAGTTCAAAAACGAAGAAAATTGCCACAGCTGGCAAATGATTTGTCCTACCTGTTAGCTATCAAAACTTTCCCAGAAGTCTTGGATAATAATTTCGAAAATTACCGAAACTTGGACATGGTAGAAAAGAAGGCTTGTAATTTTCTGAGACTATCTCAGCACTATCATATTACTCACACTGAAAACATGGCCAGAAGGAGGAAGAATTCCTGCATTGGATACAGTTTGAAGTGTTATGTCTATACTGTACGAGAAATGCGGGTCTCTTCGAAAACTAACAGAGCTTTTGGACCGATTTAATATAAGATAATGACAACTTGCTGAGGTGATTGGGAAAATTTCTTGATTGTTTCAATGCAAAACAATTAACAATTTATAAAGAATTTTGTTGCTTAAAAAGTTGAAATGAGTCCGAGCACTGTGGTCTATGGACTCCAATTTGGAACAATCTAATCAACGCTGGTGGCTATCGAAAAATGTGAAAATCGAATCGCAATAAAATTAGAATGCCATCTCCGAGTTATCGCTAAGCCTATGCGCCTCGCACTTCTAGTTCGTTTCTTCGCCAGTATTTTTTAGAAAATTAATGGAATTAACAACGGCACGACATAGCGAAATCGATCCATGACTTTGCTTTTAGGATATTTTTATAATATTGTGGAATTTTACGCATTACTCGATACCTCTTCACAGCTTTTCATTTTGGGGAATTAAAATGGAAATGTGCAATCTTGTTAACTTCACATGAAATGTTAGAAGTCAAATTTGTTTCTATCACACTCTCCCGCTGACCTCACGGTACTTGAAGCAGCTTTCTGCAGTAAATAAGGTCTCAGATAACTCTGTTTGAGGTATTGTTACTTCTGAAAGGGTACTCTTATTCTAACAATAACTCCGTTGTACGGGAGTAGTCAGAGTCTTAAATAGAGTGCAAGAGGGGGTGTCTGAGAGGATATCATATTTGTTTGCTTGTCCTCTTTTGCGCGAATTCTAGCATAGTGTAACGCTCTGTGATTTATCTAGTCTTTGGGATGGGATGCTTTTATAGATCTTTTTTCTTATGATTCTATGGATTTGTTTGTTCAACGTAAGCGTCACCAAAGTTCGTTCTTGAATACGACGTACTTACTTTAGTGTCATGATATGTTTGACCTGAATCTGTAGTTGAACTTGAAAGAATTCTTTGTCTAAGTAAACCTAAATAATCGTTATAAGATTATATAGATAGATGAAGACGTCTTAACATTGTTGCACTACCGGGGAGACGGTCACCTCATTAAGGAGATTTACGTCTTCAATATCTCTTTCTCTTTCATAAAGGACGTAGAGTTTAGGAGTTCCTTGTTCTAGTTAAAAGTTTTCATAATGTCGTTATGACGTACTGGTGCGCCGAGGTCGGTTTTTAAGGGCTCACATCTGCTGAAAATGATCTTGCTGCCGATAGGCTATCCTCTCTGAATTGCTCTCCTTTGAAATTGATATTCTTCGCATTTCTACTACCATGTTATATCAGCTTGATGCAAAAGTCTTGCACAAAAATTCTTCAAAACTTTGAATTTATTCCACCTTCAACAAAATTGTTTGATTTGACATTTACTGCAGAAAATTTAGTGCTATTAGAGAGTGCCTAGCTCGAAATTCTTGTTATAATCAGAAAATTATAATTTCGATCGCTGAAACTGCTCTTCCATTGAAATTTAATTCTTGTTCTGGTTTTATTACTACGTATTGCTCTTTCTCGCTAAAAAAATCGTTTTGACGGAATGTTTCTATGGCAGTTATGATTTTCGAGTTATGCTTGTTATTTGGATTTTATTGAAATATTTTGGTCTATTCAATAAATATAGCACTCATATGCTACTTTTTTCCTACTTGCTGCATTAATTACCTGAAAATCCTAGAAAACTAGATCTGATAAGAACCCATCGTTTCTTAGAAATACGAAATTTTAGACTTTCGGTTGCAGTCTTCAACTAAACCGCATCACAAATTAGGCTTTTTTCGCTAAAAACACCCCTTTTGAAGTTCTGGAAGCTTTTGCAATTCTACCAACGTGTTCATTCTGCAAAGATCTGCACATTATATGATTACGCAATGAACATTAATCAAAATTTTCAAGCTTGAACTTAGCTCTTAGAGAGGGTGTTCTTCTGGCTTATGTTTAGCTCAAGCTTTGGTCACAGTAACGAGGAAAAGTTCCGAGTATTATTTCATTGTTGCCCCAAATCTCGCATTTTTTACTATCGTTTCTTGGAAATATAATGGACGTTCATTGTTTGATGGAGTAGCACTTCCTCAGACTATCTCTCTCAGAGTTTGAGATTAAGCGGCATCAGTGACCTCTCCTGCGGTCCTGTAACACTGTGAAATCCGATCGCATCGCTTAGTGCGCTCAGGGGCTGTTTCCTTGGTCGGACGAGAATTAGTTGTTTGGCATTCGAAAGTCACTCCCTGCCTCATTCTGGGCTCTTGGCCTCTTTCTAGTTTTCTAAGTTAGCGGCGAACAAAGGTCGAATCGCTTTGCGGTCATTGCCGCTCGTTTGGGGTGTGAGTCGTTTCCGTGGCCTTGTGCGGCATTTTGAGCGTGTTTCCGAAATCATCTCCCATCATACCTTGCGGTTCTTGCCCATTTTAAGAAAGACGAAAAATTCTCATTGATTAAGAAGCATACCATCTTCGTCTACTTTTTATATCTATTGTTTTGATTATTTCCTGAAAAAGTATGTATGAATAGCCCGTGTATTAAGTTGAACCGTTCTTGCACCAGAATTTTCAAAAATCGCAACTATTTGTCCTTTCGAAGAGTCCGTTTGATTTAGTATAGCGAGCGCAAATAATGCGGTCTCCAACAGTACTCAGAGCGATAATCCGTCTCTTTATTACGGTGATGCAAGCTGATTGAAAGAGAGAGTTAAATCGTTTGACTTAACTCTCTCTCTCTCTCTCTCTCTCTCTCTCTTTCTCTCTCTCTCAATCAGCTCACCGAGTTATTTTTTAATTTTTGTTCTTTCACGTGCTAGGGGGCCCTAGAAATTCAATCTTAGTTTTGGCTGGTCTTAGAAATTAAATTCAATCTTCAGTTTTGATTTACTACTTACTCCTTTCACTTTTGAAAAATTTATTGTGATTGGATGTTTCGACTAACAGCCATGATTTTTACTTTCCAATTAAACTTTGCAATTTTGTTTTTTGTGGTGCTTATCATTTTCGGGAGCAAAACTTATGGGACGTCCTAATATATATGAGTGAGTACATGAGCCAATGAAGAACAATGTAGCAGTCTTTACCTTTACAATCTCTCGATACCATATTTCTATTGTCGATATTGTTTATCAGGTATTATCTAGCATCCTTATTTGGTGGAATATTAATTAGTTCCAAAATTGTTATCCCTCCATTTTGGGAATTTGTTAATTCTTGCTGATTTGGCAGTAAGATAATAATATTGCAGAAAGCGAAAATAATGTGCTGGTCTCTACCAAGTTTTTCCTCATAAAAGCGAGAAAGAAGATCCCTCGGGCTTCGATCATTGCGAACTGAGTCATTGAAAATCAAACCCGGGTAGACTTTGGAGTCCCTGCAGTTTTTGGTCTACCAAATTTTTGCTAACCAAGCCTTGTATGAAGGTTTAAGAAGAATTCGATATATTCCAGAAATCTTAATACTGCTTATCTCTGTTGTTTCTTGATAAGCATAACTTTCTTGAAAGCGATTACTCGACACATTTGGAAGAAGGGAGAAACTCTTTGGAAGAAGCACGGAGAACTATCTTGATATTACGAAACAAAAACTTTGCAATTTTTTCGCCATCCTCAAAATCATCCCAGTTATAATGATCTTCTACTTCCTCTTTCATATCCGATATTCAAAGAGTGCCTTTGCAAGGTAAATAATTTCTCCTTTCTAGCAAAATATTATCAGATATTACATCGTGAGCAAATTATTTCGAGTTGTTGTGAGTTTTTGAATAGAGGCAGAACTTCCTGGATAGCCTAATATTTTGAACCTCAAAGTAGCCTATGCTTATCACACTTTCCATCCTGATACATAGAATTTGTAAGAGCTTGAGATCACAAAGGGCTCGTTCTAACTTTCTAAGAAAGTTTATCCTGCCTATGACCTTTGTACAAAAAGCCAACTCTTTGTTTCTGCGGAAGAATGAGTAAATAAGATGATGTTTGTAAAAACTTGTTTTCATCTGAGACATTTGTTAGAAGAAATTCCACCAAGCAAATACTCTAGTCTCAAGCTCGAAATGTTTACTCTTTCTTTCCTAATTCAAATGAAACTCTTTGGACGAAATCAAATCAGACCACTTCCGAAGCGTATTATTTCCGCTTCCGTACACGTAGCCGGCTTCCGAATCTTCGTCATATCCACTTCCTTCATGTCTCCAACCCGATTTTTTTCTCCACTGTCCTTTGGTCGGCTGACGCCAGTTGCATTCTCAAGTACCTCATAAGATGCCGTATACGCATCCAAGCAAAACGCCAATTTTTGCAAAATTAAAAATTACTCCAGCCACTTGTCACAACCCACGCGCGTTCCGCCTACTACGAACCTTGAGTAGAATGTGTATTCCAGATAGAAGCACGATGCAGCGAAGGTGACCATGAGATATCTGCTAGTGCTAGTTATCCTCGTGCTGGCCGCCATTGGCAATGCTGTAGTGCAGGAAGAAGAAGAGACCTGCTCAGGGGCAAAACCATGTGCCCCGGGTGTGGTGCTGCCAGTATGGCAACCTCAGGTAAGGACTGACAACTTTATATATTACTTGACTTTGCAAAAACCGTACTAAAATTCCGCCTATTTGCCTATCTGACACTCCGTGAACTGATTTCCTCTACATAGCGAACTTTCCCTCCCGTCTTTCGTTGTTATCTCTATCATAGTGCTTTCTCAGTTTACACTTTTATACCATTCAGAGCAAAGATATGATCACTTTGCTTTTATAATCATTCATGTCATGATGTGCCGCGACTAGGTTTTTTAATGTATAAGAAGTAAATTCTTTGGTGGAAAAGAAGCCTAAATTTGGCTCAAAACCTTCTAGTGACACCCCACCCGAAGGACCAACCCATATGCCAAAGCGAACTGTAGCCAATAATCTAGAGAGGTACATGATCTCAGGCTTCTCTTCGTCATCACAAGCTAGTAGAAACAATAGAAACTATATAAAGATTACCTACACGGTTTGATATAGGGTGTATGTCAAGAGGCGCGATTTTTATTGCCAGATAGATACCGAATAGCACATAATAAGTGTTTTATGACTTTCTAAATTCATTCAGATTTTAGAAGGAGACATATTCGATAGTTGCATGGGTTGTTCAATCTTAATACCTTGGAATCGAATTAAAACAGCCATTTTGAAGGTCAAAAACCCATAGTACAAATCAAGTACGTGCGCTGATCTAGCTTTTCTGTCAACACCTTATCGTTTGACTTGTTCTAATTATGCTTATCGAATTCTGAGGGATATAGATTTTAAATGACATTAACGAGAAGTTTGTTCAAGAGAGGTCAGAGATGGTCATGCTTATTTATGGTAGACGATCCACAGAAGGCATATCAAAAAGGTTGCAAGATATGTTGATTGGATTGACTTTCCACTTACAAGGGAACGATACTCGGTGTCCGTGGCCTTTTGAGATGAGATGTATACCATTACACTCGTCTTGGAACGTTGATTCCAAATCTTACTTCCGTTTCTGCTAATCGCTTCAAAGATGTTATCATGAATTGCGCGGAATTTGGCTGCCCAGTGAAATACTGTCGGAGCGCCAATGCCATAGGTGCGCTGTGGTCCAGTGGTTAGTGCGATAGGCTCATGAGCTGATGCCAGGTTTAAGTTCGAGTCCTTTTGTGTTTTTTAGTTTTGCATTGCCTCAATTAACCTTCTTTCACATCCTCAAGCTAAGTGAACGCCCTTACTCTTGAAAAAATGTGGAATTTTGGAAAAAATGACTACTGTTTGCGCTAAAATATATTCAATGGTCATAAATCGAGTAAACTTTCTCGAACAAGCTTAATTGAGGCAATGCAAAAGTAAAAACACAAAGGATTTAAACCTACACCTGCATCAACTTATGAGGCTATCGCACTAACCATTAGACCAGAACGTGGTCGCGGTAGAGGCCGTTCCAATGACCACATTTCCCTTAAGCGGCCAAACTTGGATCGAAATTCCTCCATAACTTCTTTCAGAGAAACGATTAGCAGAAACAGAAGTCAGATTCGGAATCAGCGTTCGAAAACGAGTGTAGTGGTATACATCTCGTCTCAAAAAGCCACGGACATTGAGTATCGTTTCCTTGTTAGAAGCTCTATAGTCGAAAACAGTGCAAGAAGCAGAGTCTACTAAACTTTCTTAATCAAAGCTATGTCAGTAATCTGCAATCATCTAAAGCATGCACTTTAACCCATTTGAAACCATAATTTTGTGTGCAACGTGAGATCTACTCTCGACTGCTGCATCCTTTCATTTCATCTTTTTCTCAAAGACAGTCATAAACTAGTCAAGCGCTGTGAACCAAGATTTTTTTAGCTGACGAAGTAAATTGGCTGCGATAGGTCGCGTGAGAACAAATGGACAGAGTGAAAGTTGTACTGGTAGCTAAGAGAAGCTCACATGTTTCTAGATTCCACCGCAATTAAATCGATATAAAATCTTCCAATTTTGCGTTTCTCAGGGCCAATCTCAACGTTTTCATTCTGGATCTCATTAGAGTATCACGTTACTTCATCATCCAGGCAAAACAAGACTGAGAAAAATTGAGTTGGGTTGTTTACTTTGAAGGAAATTTGATGGAGGAGAACGAAGGGGAGGAAGTTGGTGATAATCATATAGCAAAAACTTAGCGCATTTATGCGAGTGTATAAGCAGATTCTATAGTTGAAGTGCAATTACGGTAGTGACAACATTCGCGCGAAAAAAATTGCCGAGATTGAAATGCCTTCCACCATGGTTAACAGGTGGCTACAGCGCACTTTCTACTAAATTTTGCTCCCCCATGGCTACTATTTATGCCGTTATTAGCAAAGCAAAACATCATATAATCTTCAAATCTGCTAGACCGTGTATGCCTTGCATTGTCCTGATCTCGGGGCATCGAACATGCTCAAAGTCTACAAAGATGACCTTGAACTTTCCGAATTTTCCAACACATCAATATTTTGTATCCCTATTGACCGTTTATACTTTTCAGGATGATCTGGGGCAGCGTACGATCATTTTCCGGGCTATCATCTACCTCATCGCGCTTTTCTACATGTTCTTTGGCGTTTCCATCGTGGCCGATCGGTATGTGTGTTTGTGTTTTCTCGCTTGTCACTGCAGTTTCCTTCTTCGCAATTGCGTTGACATTCACCCGAGCAGACTGGACCCCGTTAAAGTTCTCGAGTTTACTCGAGATCTATCGCTAAATGTGAGAAGTTGATGTGTTTCGGGGAAATCTGTCGATTTTAGTCATTGCAGTAAGGGTCAAGTGAATGTCACGTTGGGATAAAGTTTATAAATTCGTGGAAGCAATAAGCACAAGAAAGAATATTTTCTTTAGCTGTTACAAAAAATTTCTTCGGCAGTTTCAAAATTTTTCTGCAATTGAGCGTGTCTGTTATCTTAAAAGCTTATTTGAGTTTTTAAGAATTTATCTCAGCTAGTCGTTGTTCAACATAAATTGCTAGTAGTGGTAAACTGAATGAGTAGCGGAATGTCAGGAATGTCAAGTCAAAAAAATTTCCCAGTGGTGTCCTTCAGCTCTTTGTCTTACGTACCTAGTTTATAGTATCTCAATGCGATTTGTCCTCAGAATTCAAAATTAGATATTTGATCCAGATTTGGCAGATTTTACTTGTATCCACTAAAGTCTGACAATCAGAATGCTCTGTGCAAAAGTATTTTTTGGCATTTTGGAACACGTTTTGGAATTATTCAAGTCAAAAATTTGCTAGAAATCCAAAGCTGCATTTCAAATTTATGATTCATAGCACTGCGAAGTTTTGAGGCGACAAATACGTCGCGGCAGCATAGACAAAGCTTCGAAAAAATATCACGTACATCGAGTCGCTAAATTGTCCGTAATGGAAATTACTCGTTAATTAGATATTACTCTGATACGCAAAGTGTTAGCTAGCATTCGATGGGTTTTTCACGGCACTATGGAACGAAAAAGTCCGTCGCAATCCGTTTTTCACCAAAATTTGGAAGCATTATGATTCGATTTTAAACTTTGAGTTGAATATCTAAATAGCAAAACTGAGTCACAGACAGAATTGAACTTATTTTCCTGAAAGCGAAGATTGTGGTTTTTTTATAGATTAAGCTACACGATTTGTTGGCTGGGTTGTTTTGGAGTTGGGAACACTATTCAGAATAGGTCTATTCTAACCACATACATTTACCATCAAATGAGAATCTTTAGTCGTTCATAGGCACATAAAACTTTCTTACGCAAACATTCAAGACTGACTCACACTTCCTTTCTTGACTTAAAAAACTCGTCTTACTTACTTACAGGTTTATGGCAGCCATTGAAGTGATCACATCACAAGAGAGGGAAGTCAAAATGAAAAAAATCACAGGCGAACCCTACACAATACTAATTCGGGTATGGAATGAAACTGTCAGCAATTTGACATTGATGGCATTGGGTGAGACTTACACTATACAGTTTGTTTGTGAAATTAAGGTGCGGCAGGAAGGTGGCAAATGTCGGAATTAAATGTGGTCTGTAAAGTTAGAAAAACATACCTAGACTGAGAATACTGCATGACTAAAATAATTCGGACAAGGGAAAAAGCATGTACGATAAAACAGAACACCAGAGTTAGTTCAAAAATGACACGCTTTTGGATTCTTAATAGACTTTTGGAGTCATAATATCAAAAATAAAATAGGTTTTCTTTCTTTCCTATGAAAGGATCGGGGAGTACTCGACGTTAGATCAAGAAGGGATGGAATGGTGGCTAATATGGCATAACAATTTTCTTCAACTAGGATCTTCTCCGACGTGGAAACTTTCTAACTTTCTGAAGGGAATTTTGCGGTGTTAAAAAATAACTACAAGGGTCCGACAATGATTGTGTCGTGTCTAATCGAATCAACCAAATCCTCTCCTCTAATTTACACAAGGCTTCGCTCTTCATAAACTTGCATATTTAAGTATTATCTGCACTGTAGCGGTGTACGCGATATTTGTGCGGAGGGGAAAGGAGTAGACGCAACAGAAATTTTCTTTGAATGGGGGACGAAGCATCAGCGTCCTCCCAGAACATTTTGATGTGCAAAATTGTAGCGAATGTAAACCTAAAATATTTTACAGAGCTGGTTTGAACTTTCAGAATTTTTCATCAATTATTTTGCTTACTTATGTATAAGTTAGAACAACTCACTTCCTCAATTTTGTAACACACATGGAGGGCGAAAAAGTTTTTGTGGTGCAAGCGGTATAATGAACCTCTTCAGAGCATCTTTTCAGAATGTCCACGTTTATCTGCAAAATTTTATTTTTTTGCAGGATCGTCAGCTCCTGAGATTTTACTGTCTGTTATTGAGATATTTGGCAACAACTTTGAAGCGGGTAAGCTTTTCTTCAAACTTCTTCTCTCCGCTAGAAATGCTGTTATTTTCTAGGTGATTTGGGTCCGAGCACCATTGTTGGATCAGCAGCTTTCAATTTATTCATCATTATAGCAGTCTGTATTCAGGTAGGCTTTCGTTATTTTCTCGAGTACTCCATTGTTTTGTTTCGAAGAATCTTTCTTTAGGTGATTCCAAGTACAGAAACTCGTCGAATTCAACATGTGCATGTGTTTTGGGTAACAGTGATCTGGTCGACGTTCGCCTACATTTGGCTTTATCTCATTCTTTGTTTCTTTAGCCCAAACGTAGTAGACGTAAGTGAAGCTAGAAAAAATCAGCTAGTAGCCAAAAGTTGAAATTGTAGGTTTGGGAAGGTGTGCTCACATTTATGTTCTTCCCTTTGACAGTGCTCTCGGCTTATGTGGCGGACACCTACACAGGAGTTTTCGGACAACGGTATGCAATCTCCGCTTTTCTTGCTGTGTTTACATTATAAAAAATAGTTCCTATTTGTGTTTGAAAAGTTCCCACTCTCTTCTTGAAAAGTGGTTCCCAGTTTATGATCAAAAAGAGAGTTTCTACTCGGGTATTTGTATTCTTACATCGCACTTGAAAAAATTGTTCTTATCCCTGCTCAAAAAAGTGCTTCCTACTCTGTATGAAGAATGAGTGGTTTTCACTCTGCTTAAAAAAATTGTACTTCAAATTTTCTATCCTGTACTCTAAAAAGCTAGTTTTTTTTGTTAAAAAAATGTAATTTCTCCTAAGTTTTCGCATCAAAATTACCAACTGCTCATTTTATGATAAACAGTGATTTTGAACTGAAGGAAAACAAAGGTTGTAAAATGAATTGTGAAAAGACTTCTATTTATTTCTCTGTCGGCGTTATTTTTTGCGATTGGAATCTTCTTAAGTGCTTACTCCATCAATTTGAAAAGCGACTATCTTATCATTCAGATTATCTGCAGATTTAGTATTCTTGACAACCCCATTCAAACATTCTTCGCGCGAAGGCGAACACCAAGGCGAAGTCCTACAAAGGAAAAGACAACAGTCAGTGTGGAAAATGGAAAAGAGGATCATAGGTAAACTTCTTAAATCGTTTCTGGCTCTTGTACCCACCTACAGCATAACCAATCGTTCACTAGGTTATCGCTTATCCAACCGAACACGGATGCTGACGCACTTGCTTTCGAAGAGCATCGGAAACAGTACTTGGAAATTTTCAAGAACCTTCGGTAGGCAATTACAGGAAAGATTATCCTCAAAAAAGGTCCACAAGAAAATTTCTGCAGCGCTCAGCACCCGGATGCGCCAATTGCAGAATTGGAAAAGCTAGCAACCGAGAAGGTGGTTAGCCGACAAAAGAAGAGTCGCGCGTTCTACCGTATTCAGGTAAATATCATTTTAGGTGTAACAAAAAGCATTTCATGACATATTTTCAGGCTACTCGTCAACTCGTCGGTCAAGGCGATATCACAAAGAAGAAGTTGCGAAGGAAAGCCGAAGAATTGGTAAAGCCTCTCGTACAGAAAATTAACATGGTGGTTGTTCAGTGAGTACTTTGGTATCTTGAAATTTCCCTTTCATCAAAGATGGCATTTTGGATCTCTGTCAGCCTAACCTCTCCTAATAAGAAGTGAACGTAATGCCCCGCAAACGAGAACAAGTAAAACCTTCATGCAATGTTTTCACTGTTTTCATTAAGCTCACTCTTGGGTATTATACAAGAGTATTCCTCATGATGGTGAAAACCATAATTACGCATTGAGCTTCGAGTAAATGACAATGATTGTAATCAGATTCACAATAGAAATCCTTGAGAGTTATCTGAATAACATCTATATCTCTCACCTAATGATAGTAGCCTTTGCTAAAACTCTAAGGCAAATCATTACCACCTTCTCAAACCACTCTGTCTTTTCAGCCACAAACTGGCGTTCTTACCTGCTGCAAACTTTATCATAATTACACTTTGTGCGAGCTGCTAACTACTTCTTTTGATTGCATTAGTTGAGGAAAAAGTGCTGCAGTGTTGAATAAAAAATGATTTTTACTCATGCGCAGAGATTTTCTCCCATCGGATTTTGCTGAGCATAGCGGTTTATGATTCTGATCCTACATAAACGCTCCCCCTGCACTTGTCTCATCATATAATCTTGCTTTTTCTTCAATTGTTTTTTAGATTATCAAATCCAGTCACTTCTAACCTATGTTGTTCAGATTCGATCCAGCTCATTACATGTGTCTCGAAAACGTGGGCACCATCAAAGTCCAAGTGCGATGCGATCGGGGTGCAGCCGATCCTAACTGTACAGTCACCGTACACTACAGGTGAGTTCAAATGACACATCATTCGTAGACTCTTTCTAGGAAAATAATCAAATTTCACAACAGGAAAATATCTTGACCTTCTTTTATCCAAATTCAGAACAGTAGCAGACACAGCTCAAGAACACTCAGATTTCGTACCGGTAGAAGGAATGCTGACATTCAAACCAGGAGAAGAGCTGTAAGTTGAATCTGGCACTTTTTATTTTTAATCAACAACAAAAAATCCTCTTCAGACAAGAGATAGAAATCTCCATTGTTGATAATGATATCTATGAGGATGATGAGCAGTTCATGGTTCGACTTTCACAGGTAAGGCTATACTCTCTCGAGAAACGTTAAGTCACAATTTTGAGCAATTTAAAAAATATTAGGTCCGCGCCCACTCACCTTCACAATTTACACCAATTCCCGTACGACTTGGAGCAGCATCAACGGCTACAGTACTTATTGTCGACGATGACCATGCTGGAGCTTTCGGTTTTACATCGGAAAAGTTCAAAGTTGTGGAGAGTGCCGGAGAGTTTGTTGCTGAGGTGAGAAAGCTTTTAGTTCCTCTACCGTATCTCTAATGAAAAATTCTATAGGTTGTCCGAACCAGAGGAGCACGAGGTGAAGTCTCGATTCCCTACAAAACCATTGATGGGCTAGCTAAAGCTGGAGACGATTACGAGCACTGCGAAGGGACGCTACAATTCTTGGATGAACAAATCAAGTTTGTTCTATCTTCGTTTGACCCTAGTGACTCAAAATTATGGATAACTTTTACAGAGCAGAGATTCGAATTCCTATTGTAAATGATGATGAGTACGAAAAGAACGAAGATTTCTTCATTCAGCTGGGTGAACCAGTTTGGCATCGAGAAATGACTGCCACGGTAACTATTTTGACAAAGTTTATTTTGAACAGAAATAACATTATTACTGTGCTTACCTAAATGTGCTAGGCCACGCGCATACGTCATGAATTCTGAATTCCCATCCTTGACAGGATCCAGTTATTCCGTAAGCGCTGTGAATATAGAACGTACGGCATTTTATATTCTACACTCTATGCAGTTCTAGTCTACGAGTGTAAAATTTGAAGAAATTGGCAATTCGCCAAATCGCCAAATCCAGTATGCACAAAGCCATATTGGGAACATTTCATATAGACATTTCTGGAGAGCAAGATTTGCCAAGTAGGACTCCGTAAGTTCCAAACTGCCGGAAAGTCAAACAGTTTATAGAAGACAAATGAGAAAGTACTCGAAACTTTGTGAAGTTTACTGCAAGCATATTTTAGGATGAAGGACACGAGGGTCGTCCAGTACTGTCGCTTAGCCGTTGCAAAGTTGTGATCACGGAAGACAAGGAGTTCAAAAACTTCGTAGATCGAATGCTCACCAATGCAAATACATCCATCATGGTCGGCACAAGCAGTTGGAAACAGCAATTTAATGAGGCCGTGACGATTGAAGAAGGTTGGAATCTGATAATTCTGATAGGCAGCGGCTCGGTAGATTGACATACCTCAGATTTTGACACAGATGGATAGGAGGCCCTCCAAGTGAACCAAAACAGCAACTCCGCGCCGAAAATGTGAACCCTGCAAGCTAGGGGGGCGGCCCAAGCGCCGCTCCCCTTCCCCCTTTCGCTCCCCTAACACCTTGTTCGGACGAGTATTCTCCGCTAGACGGCGCGGGACCCCCCAACCGCTTTCCCGCATGTGCATGCTATACAAAGCCAAAATTACAGGCAGCAGGGTCTTCGTGCCAGGGCCTCCCGACTTTCCTCTGAGAATTCTCGTCCGAGCTGCCTTTTGGAAATTGAAAAAAACGCCCCGAAAAAAGGCCTTTTCACCCCTTTCAAAGCTCAGATTCGGGTCTACGGGTCGAGAAGGCCCAAAACATGCAAAAAGATGTAAATGCAAAATCTGCCGGGACGCTGCCTTTAAAGTCTTTACAAAGATTTTGAACAATCTGAGAATAGGCTTTATCTTTGATAATGGGAACATAAAACTCGTAATGTCGTCAGGGTTATCGTTGTCATCAATACTAGTCAGACAGGGATAACTATGATCTTCATTCAACACGCGCGCGCAGGAATTGAACCATCAACCACGCGCACGCAGAGAGAAAACACACGCGCTGCGCCATGCTCACACAACAGACTACTTGCGGTGGTGCAGAAGGTGACGATCCCATTGTGCCTCACAAAAATTCTTCGGCGTTAAACTAACGCTGCGGCAAACCAGGGAGGGAGGGTGCGGGCAGATACTTGGCTCGATGCCATAAGATTCCATGCAAATAGCATTGCGAATTTTTATTGCTTGCATCTTTCGCGTATTGTCGCCATCCGCTTGTCCTCAACCTATGCATTGTGTTTGTGGAGGCCCTTTCGCATCGGTATGTGTATATACTTACTCTCGTAAACAAGATTTGCCTATGTGCACACACTCAAAAATGGTGCTCTCAAAATCTGGATGGCGCTTTCAAATTCAAAAATTTCTGCAGTGCACTCGAAACAGGTTGAAATTCGCACAGCGAAGATTCCTGTGATAGTAAATGTGCGAAATGTGCTGTGCGATACTCTATATCAAATTACCAGTTACTACTCAGACAATCCGCAAAATACTTCCGAGGGAAACTGAACTTCTAAAACTTCCAGGGCGGAGTTTCTACTGGGCTGTGTGGGTGGATCCCGCCCTACCTGGCCGCGCACTATTTGGCAGCTCCAATAGGAATGTTCCCCCCCCCCCTCCCCGGGAATTTTAGAAGTTCAGTTTTCTCCGAAAGTTTGCGGATTGTCTGGATTGTCTGAGCATTAGGAACGGAAAATTCTACGCGTAAGGTTGCTACTATACTGATTTTTTAGAAGAGCTAAAAATGTGCTTTGAAAAGTATTATAGAATGAACTTAACTGAAATATAACTTGAAATATGGAAACCTGCCGCGACTACTTTCACATTGCTAATAGCTTCTTATGCACCTTTTTCTAGACGAAGATGGGAACATCTCAACGAAGGAGAAGATCATGCATTATATCTCGCTGCCATGGAAGCTATTGTTCGCACTGATACCACCAACAGACTACTACAACGGTAAGTTCATTCCTACTGTCATTGCATAGTCTTAACCCAAGAATAAGAAAAATTTTATCAGCTAAGCAACTCCACTATAAATTCAGACACGACATGTGCGAATAAAATGTACCCCTATGATGGTATGATGATAGCATGTAAGGTTCAAAATTATACTGTATTACAGATGTGTGACATACAAGAGGGAAGGATAGACTTTCCAGTGGCGCTCCCGGAAATTTCTTCGATTCCTTCTTATTGAAAGGGGGGGGGGGGAGGATGGGAACGGAAATGTTTTTTGTCTGCAGTTTCGCGAGACTGTACCCAAAAAATTTTCTTACAAAGTCAATGTAAAATGCAATGCAAAATTCCTGAAGTCTGTATTTATTCAATTATTCGAAAATGCAAGTCTAATACAGTCAAAATGATTTTTACCCCTGCAGAAATTTTATACCTGAAACTAGTGTGTCGAACAGAATTTCACTCTGGAAATTCTTTTAAAGTCTTTAGGTAAGGTTGAAATCAAAAAATGTGCACTATAATCTGGTTGACATATGAATCTTTAACGTAAGATAACTTGGAGAGTCAGTGGCTCTGGATATAACTCAAGATTTTATGAAGTAGCAGTCCACATGAGTCACATGCAACTGTGCATGCGACTTCTTTTCGTATGTAAAATTGAAATAATTATTGGGATATTCTGAAAAATCAATCATCTTCGTAAAATATCTACTTTGTAACCGTAGCTGCCGCTACGCTCCTTCATCCCCTTGAGTAATTTGATCGGACTGCCAGTCAATCGATCTGTTCTAACTTGTCACATTTGTAACTACAGCCTGTGTCAATCACGCATTCCCTTTTCCATTATCGCTGCCACGCCAGAGCTTCGCGCCACATTCGCGTTATGCCTTGGGCATTTTCGGCCTCATAGGTTAGAGGTCGCACGCATGGCTTTTGCGCAGCGGATGCTTAGTTCTTGGAGCCCATAAATGGCAGAGATCGTTTAAATCATACATGCTTTTCTAAGCAGACATTCTCCTTGCAATCTAACAGAGCATTACATCAACCACATACCGGCCAATTTTTAGGCTGGTTATGCTTTGTTGTTGCCATCGTGATGATCGGGTTGCTTACGGCTGTGATTGGCGACTTAGCCTCGCATTTCGGCTGCACAGTTGGAATGAAAGATGCTGTAACGGCAATTTCGCTTGTTGCTATGGGTACCAGCGTGCCAGGTATGCATAAATCACAAACCAGTTAGTGAATTGGATTACAATATAAATTCCTCAGATACATTCGCTTCGAAAACGGCCGCATTACAAGACAGCTGGGCGGACAGTTCTATAGGTGATCCAGTTGACCTGGATGCAACATATTCTGAAAAATCAGAAATTTTAGGAAATGTGACGGGTTCAAATGCCGTAAACGTATTTTTGGGTATCGGTATCGCATGGGCAATTGCAGCAATCGTTCACGCTTGGAATGGAACGCAATTCCAGTATGTCGCCTAATTACAATAAGGAAATAATTTTTTGTCAAAATATCTACATCTAAAAAGTCATCTAAGGCATTGATGTCACTTATGCACGAATTTTACAGGATTACTTGTAAGTTGTGCCCATACCCCACATAAAGCAATTTGGCTCCAAACTTTCGCCCAGTACAGTATTCTCTTCACACCCAATCAGTATTCTCGAGTACGGTAATGGGCGAGCACCTAATTTTTTTCGGTCCGATAGATTGGCTGCCGCTTGGACAATGACGTTCCTCCCATCAGTAGGTAACCCAGAATTTTGAGCCCAATACCGTACTCTTCCCGTGTAAACCAACCAGCGCTTTCGAGTATGGTACCTAGCGAGCATTTAGATACAAAATCCAAGTCATCAATGAATATATTTTAAGCTGGCCGTTTGTGCATTGGCTTAGTTAGGGCCTCCCAGTCAGTACATGATAACTATATTTTGCACAATCACCGCAGCCAATTCCAAAAAAAAAGACTCACATACCGCGATCTATCATTTGCAGTGTTAATTCCGGTTCGTTGGCTTTCTCCGTAACGATGTTCATCATAGGATCGATAATCTGTATAACTGTTCTTCAACTGCGGAGGTTAGTCCCAAAAAATTTTCAGTGCCCTTGCGGATGCTTGCAACCCTTCATTTCAGATACAGCAAAAAGATCAATGGTGAGCTAGGAGGTCCTGCACGAACCAAATACATCAGTGTAGCAATCTTCATACTCGTATGGATTGCATATCTGACGCTCAGCACCTTAGAAGCTTACTGTGTTATCCCAGGATTCTAAACTTATTTAAGTCAATCTATTTTTTCCCAAAAACATCCGCATCTGCCGAGGATGAACTCACAGATCATCTGCACAGATTCCAATTTTACTGAGCTTATTTTATGAATGCATAATGAATTTATGATTGGAAAAGAAATAAATATAAAAACACTATGAACTGCCCATGAAAACAGGATTGGAAAGGCATATATTTTATAAGATACTCATTCGACCCCTATATAACAACTCCAGAAACAGATAACAAGACAAGCACTCTCATATCACACTGATCTCAACTCGATGACAATACGAATTGAAAGAGTAAATCTTAACAGACATGATTAATTGAAAGGAAAAATTGGCAAAGAGATATACTAGATAACAAGCCTTCCATTATCTTCTCTTTTCATGGTAATGTTGTACATTTTAGTTTGATGCGTCGAGATTATGTGGACGAGGATGAAGCAAGTTTCTTCAAATGCTCCATAAATACTTGCAAAGAAACGTCATCTGTGAACACAGGAGCTCCTCCCTCCTATAAGAGAAAGAATAAAGCACTATTTTCTTACTAGACCGCTGCAAAATTTGTGCAAACAAATCAATCCCAAAAATTCCTTCAGTGATTCAGAATAGTGACGCATTAGTACAAAGCACTTAGAGAGACTTACCGATGCGTACGGATTGTTATGTGTCAGTGATGGATTAACCTTTGATAGCAGGAAACGGGCCTGAAAAGAATCATTCAACCTGGAAGTTGAAGTCAAAAATACCTCGACTCACCTGTGATCCCTCGTACTCAGTCACAATATATCGAGGCATAGGCCATCGTTCTTGGAGGATAGCTGTAGCGTCGCTCACAGGCGCTTCAAGTAGCTGCTTAAAGGTAGCGTACTGTGGATCCTCGTGATAGTTCATCTTCTTCCATGCAGCTATCGTCTGTCAAAGCTTGCTTTTCTTTCACGACAAATATTCTACGCAAATCACCTGCCCATGGTAGATCAGAACATGGAAATAGTCATCCATAAGAAGTATCCTGTCTGGTAGAATCGATGACGTATCAAGAAGCACTGGTTCAGGTGGACCGCTAGAGAGAATGTGCTTGAGTAAAACTTACAGAAATTGAAATAAATACTCGTACCTGAAGGAGTAACTGAACAACACTGGCTGGATCATAGTCGTACTTTCGAGAACATTTTCAGAGAAAAGAATGTGCCTGAAATCGATGGTGTTGAACAAATTAGTATTTTCCTTGAATCATAATTCGAAGCTCTCAAACTTCTTTGTTGGTATGAAGGTGAAGAGATGTATCCGCTCTCTATTCATTTGTGCAAAAAAAGCACCCCCCCCCCCCATTTCACCAGCAACAGAAGTCAAACTCTCAACCCCCTTTTAAAAATTTCAGGTGTTACACCATACTCTGCACGCAAATGCACTTCAAAAGCATAAATTTCCAGTACAATCAAAACTTATTCCTATATAATCGGAACTGAACCCACTGATGTCAGGGCCCTATACTTGACAATACAGACTGTAGGTTCTACAACAGGCTGGATTACAAAGTCAAGTGCAGAACAAAATTATTCTCTCAAAGCTTAAAAAAATCTGAAAAGGTACAAGAACGAATAAGTATCGAATTGTAGCACACCTGTAGTATGCAGTTTCATCAGGAGAATTATTGAATACTTGCAAGAACTGTGATCTTCTCAAGTGGAACATAAATTGTGGGAAAAGCGAAAACTTGTCCGACAATCGGAATGAGTTCGGATCATCTTTGGCGTACTCTCCAAACTTTTGACACTGAAATTTGTGATTTTGTCTCAGAAAGCACTTTACAAAAGGAGCATGCTAACCAGTCTGATGAGCGTTCGATCGAGCCACCTCAATGCTTCCGGCGTGTCATTTTCATTCGTTGCGCGCCAAGACGCCAATCGGGCTATTGCCACTGCACCAGCTTCCTGCAAATGCAAACTTTCGAAAGAATTTCACATTTCAACAAATGTCCATTTTAACACTTTGAAGATGTATTGTTTTTGATGCGCAGAATTATTCTCCAAAATTTTATGCGACCCAACATAAGTTCGTCACTGCTCTTGAGGACATTCTTACAATAAAGCTCGACGAAAAATGAGACGAAAATACTTGCAGTGAAACTTTAGAAAAGCCACATGAAGTATATTTTATCACGTATATAACATTCGAAAAGGAGAAGCGTTCGATTTCACAATGAAGGAAAAAATTGGTAATGTTACAGACATAAAAAATTTGTTCATTCACGCTCACAAAGAAAAACCTACTTCATCTTGTTATGGCAATTTAGATTTAAATGCGTCGGAATCTGGGTTTTACCAAGCAATCACCCCAAACTGCAGCTCATATGACTAATTTGTAGCCAAAAAAATCCAACATTACCATCGCTTAGTATCGTCTCTATTCAAGCCGACTAATTAGCATTTTGGTATACGGTAATGGGCGAGAGTACAATGTCGCGATTTTCGGACACAAAGCGCAGGTTAAAATCTGATCTAATGCCATTTTACTCTCATTCTTAAGTTGAACGGCTACATATTCTTAAATATCGTCCCCGCCATTCACTACCGAACAACCCACGAATCTCATCCATCACAGAGATCGTCAATTGATACTGCTAGATCGCAAATATGACTCAGACGTGATTAGCAGAATGGCATTAATACTCATTTCCGAGACCAAAGAACGCTTCGGGCGAATCTAAGAGATCACATCTTTTAGTAAGATAAAATAGTCATCAAAACCTAGAGATTCCCCCCAAACGTGAATTCGGTAGCGAAAATTTGTTCCGGAGTATTGATGCGCAGATAAAAGTGAACCGCGTTGAATTCGCTTGTTGTAATTCTTCCTGTTCGACGAAAACTGTGCTCACCTGGTCAAAACCATACGCAATATTCGGCTGCTGAGTTGCCATGTCCGCCCACGACCTGCACGTGGTCGTCACCCGGATCCTCTTCCTTCCATCAGCATGTTGATATTGTGTGACAAATTGTACCATCCCTCGGGCGCCTTGGGGAATCGCTGATCCATGCTAAAAACACGCAATACCTCAACTCGGTCTCAGAAACCGAACATTTGTCTTTGATAGGGTCTGATAATTATATTAGACAAAGACTCATACAACAAAAGTGATGCATTGATGCCATACTGGATAAAAAATGTGGCAAAAATATTTCCCATCTCGTTTCTTTTGAGCTTAGATTTGTACCTGAGAGTCTGACATGAGAAACCATTCTAGCCATGTGTTGGATCCAGACGTTCCCCAAGTAGCACTCACTGAGGATTTTCGGAGAAATAGGCCCTGGCCAGACTTCGCTCAGAAGCGCCCAAAAGCGCTCAAAAGCGCGTAAAAGCGCCCAAACTTCTCTAACCTCTCCTCTCTCTCTCTTATCTCCACTCGAGAAAGTGAAGAAACACCAGAGAAATTTGGCGCTTTTGCGCGCTTTTGAGTGCTTTTGGGCGCTTTTGGGCGCTTTTGAACGAAGTCTGGCCAGGGTGATACGAACAATCCCCAGAATTCCTTTACAGAACCCAATAGTTTTTGTGTATTATAATTATAAGTGAAGAAAAGACTTCAATCTCCCTCCCCTTCTCGTCCGAATCTTACCCTACCTCCAGTATTCTACACCACAAAAATTTAAGAAATTTTGATTTTGTAGTGTATTCGCGTGACACGCGGAATCGCTGACGCGGATGGCGGTTGAAAATCTTTGCATGCTAATCAAAATTGCTGAGATTTCTCTAAATCGATGAAAAACTGAAGGAAAGAGCATTTTCTGTAGTACACCACAAACACACAAATACAAGTGAGCCACTTTCTACGGTCTAGACAGCTAGAGAGCTGACTCGGACCTGTACTTCTACTTACCTGCGCAGAGATTTCGAATTGTACACATAGTGTACTCCTAGATGTGAGAGAGCAGAACTTCCACTGACACGTTCCACCAATGCCCATTTCGGTGTCAGAAACGCAAGCGTTACGTACATTTCCACTTGCGCAGCAACCGAGTACACCCTCGATTCGCAAGCCGTTTCCAGTTTTCACCTGAATTTATCAACAAAGTATTGACAATCATACTAGCCGTGCATATGTAGCCAGCACGCGCTACCCTTCGTATCGAATACAAGCAAAATTTGCGGTGCGGTAACATAATTCACGAAGGTCGCTTCGACGAAAAGACAAAGAAAAGCAAGTCAGCTAAACATCATGGCGTTAAGGCGGTTCGTTCACTGCCTTTTATGGTTTTGTTGGCATGGAAAACAGATTGTAAGAATGCTCCCAAAGACACATTCACACACTCATATATGGCTAATCTTGACAAAAATTCGAATGACAACTGTCAAGTCAATTTCCTCCTGCACTAGTTAAACGATAGCGTTTCTGACTAGGATAACAATAATGAAAAGCTTCCTCTTAAATTGTCCGATAGAATGTAGATATCATAGCAACTACAGGGATCGCTATGTCATTCAAAACTGAAAAAAACTAGGCATGGAAGAAATTGGTACTTACCTCCATGGTAGCATTGAATCCCATCTTTAGTTGACCATTTGCATCCTTGTCAAAAGCTCTTTGATATGTCTGCTTAAACAGCGATGAGTTGAATGAGTCTCCCATGACGACATTGCCTAAAACAATAATTGAGATAAGCGTACAGAAGTGATTCCCTATTCCTCTTTTCTACCTCCTTATCAGACGTATCGGAAGAAAATTGCTAGGTAAGAGTAGACGAACTTAGCACCATAACAACAATGAGAATCAGCACTAATCCCCACTTGCGCATCCAAACAAAAGCATAAGATTGCGAACTATGCACGGATGATCTAACCAAGAGATCTGATGTGTGTCCATCAAAGGATTATTTGCATTGGGAAAACTTCATGACCTGTTAGAAGGGTGTGCTAATCGTAATGAACGTATTGTTGAACAAGGTACTCAAAAAGTAATCAAAGATGACTGCAATTTTCATTGTAAAGTGATACTCATGTCTCCACTGAACTTATGGTTGAAAAAAAATCATGTTTACCTCGAAAAAAGTCAAAATGATGGGATGAACATCTCAAAGATGCGATTTCTCTAACAAGGGAACGATACTTAGTGTCCTTGGCCTTTTGAAATAAAATGTATATCTTACACTTGTCTTCGATTTCGCTGATTCCGAATCTGACTTCCGTTTCTGCTGAACGTTCCTCTGAAGAAGTTATGAAGGAAGGATTTTCGCGCCAAATTTGCCCTCCAGAGATATGGTGGGAACATCAATACCGTCGGTGGTGGTGGTGTAGTGGCTAATACGTTAGCCTCACAAGCTGATGCAGGTGTAGGTTCAGATTCTTTTGTATCATTCAATTTTGCATTGCCTCAATTAAGCTTTTTTGAGAGATTTCCTCGAGGTAAATGCGCGTCCTTACTCTTTGAGAATTTGAAGAGTCATTTTTGCACGAGTATTTCCTATATTTATACTAAGAAGTGCCTATAAAAATGAGAACGATCGGAAAATGAATGCATGTTAACATGTTACCATGTTGGTGTTTCTATCGTATGTGCCTCACGAGGCCAAACTTGACGCGAAAATCCTTCATAACTTCTTTCAGAGAAGCGTTCAGCAGAAACGGAAACCAGATTCGGAAGAGCGTTCGAAGACGAGTGCATTGGTATACATTTCATCTCAAAAGGCCACGGACACCAAGTATCGTTCCCTTGTAAGACGGAAACAATAGCAACCGCGACATCTTCACAACAGAATGTCAATATTCAACAGCTGTCTCTTACGTGACAGCCTTATTGGCACAATATTGAAATGGAAGATTTAGACAGGTTAGAAATGTTGAAAATCAGGAAGCAAATGCACACAGAGTATGGGAACACCCACCTCCTGTTGAATGATACAAATTCTTCATCTCTAGAAGGCCGGTCTGATCAAGTGCACATGAGTAGATGTCAATCGCATGACCATTCTTGACAGCACGAGATGCAAGCGAGTCGTAGAACTTTGTCGCCTGTAGCAACAAGTATATCACGAATTCTTCCAATAGATCAAAGATCATATTTAATCTTATTCGCCGTTCACAGAAATTCCTAGCCCTGATTCTTTTGGTCTTACCTTCTTCATAAAAATAGCATTATCCTCCTTTATAGTGTGCCATGAACGAATCGGCGTCTTCAGCTCCTCCCCTACTACAGCTCCTGGTCCATAAGTGCAAGCGCCTCCAACAAATGTCATAATTCTTGCTCCAGTGTTTGGGAAGCATTGCTAAATTTCTGAGTGAATTGCGCTTCACGGCAAAGGTAATTCCTAACCTCTAGCAGAGTGACAGCTACAGCCAAGGCAGCTCCGGTGGCGCGAAGAGGACGGTGTCCTTGAGGTACAGGCCAGCGATCCACACTTATTTGGTCAATAATATCGTTGATCGACTCATCACATTCGCTAATTGGCTAAAATGTACCCGTAGGAGGTTTTATGTTGATGTCTGTTTCACCATGACTACATTCAGGATACAAAACTCTTGATACACAAGCTACATTGATTCACCTTCAGTAACATTCGCTTTTCATGTGAGGAAATTTTTTAACTCAAAAAAAACTTCTTGCTCACCTGCAAAAACTTGTTGAAATGTTGTGGTGCACCTGGTGCGCCAACTGGTGCTGCAGGACCACCTGGATATGCTGCATTTGGTGCGCCTGGCATGGGACCAGGTCCAGGTCGTACACCTCCCATTGCATTCATTGGTGCTCCCGCAGGGGCTCCTTGAGCGTTTGCCTGTCCGGAAGGATGTGCAACACGCGCACTTCCGCCAACATTTATTGCAAGAATGTCCTTCAGTTGCTTTTGTGCAACTTCCTTAGTTCCCTGAAACAGTGAAATTGCTGCGCTGATTTGATATGGGGCAGGTGAGCCTGAGCTGTAAATCACTGTCACTTCGTAATCAGTTACTGCTGTAGCACACGGCATAGTCAATTAGCTAGCCAAGCTTTATTTACGCTAGTCTGGTGATTTGTAGCCATACTTAAACAAGGTCTACAAGGCTCTCTATAATCAAAGCAGATGTGATCACTAATCTTAAGAGTTTGTCAACGGCTATACGACGAACGAAGTCCAGGGAAGCCTGAGCAGCTAGGTTTCTTGTAAAACTGAATCACTATCGAAAGTACAGTTCATACGGTACATTCGTGGCCAAAAAAGTAAGCTCTCGGCTCCAGTCAAGACGTACACCGTAATCCAGAATGCTGACTGGTCAGCTTGGAGAGATCGCGATTTGGGGTGGAGTTTGAGTTTTTCAGCCACGAACAAATCAAGCGAACTCCCGCTTGGGCAACGACTTAGCTACGGCCTCTAAACAGTATTTATACAAGAAGCCCAAGCACCCGGACTTGCCTAAACACTGCCTTCAAAGCAGCCAGCCTCCACCCACTTCCAATGCTAAAACCTAATTACTCCTCTGCTCGTACGCACATAACTTACACTATGTTCATAACAGCTGGAGAACCCCCATAATTAAGCGGATAAAAAGGATTAGCTCAGCTTATCTTGGCACCGCCCTATTTATCGTGGCATTGCCAAACAGCACCTTCCAGTGCCTTCTCTTACGGGCATGGAAGGAGGCGGACGCTCATTGGCCATATCTGTGCATTACGGAGCGGATGTCTCAATTCCTTCTTAATAGCAAGCCTTGTCACCTACAGATTACTCCCACTCACTATTTGCGCCTCTTTCGATTTTATAGACGTAAAGCAATTAGCTGTGCATTCTCTTAAAGTCTTCCATACCTCCATTAGCTCCTAAAATCTTACAGCATTTTTTTTCACACGAGCTCACATAAAGTAAAATCAGGAAAAACAGAAGAATCTCTTCGCTCTGAGGAGTCATCAGACAGCTGCTACTATGCGAAAAAACTCAATTGTAAATCGATGAGGTTTACAGATACACAAAATATCTATAAAGCAGGCAAAAACATTGAATTTCTTGTGTTCCTATTTACTTTTAACATTTTGTGAAATGCGTTTTATCACTAAAACACAAAATATGTTTTATGTACTCCGCCCATTGACGACAGAATGAATTCTTCTTCCAGCTACTCTTATTTACCAAAATAAAATAATATTAATTTCTTTTTCAGTCACTGGGTACATCCAAGGATGCAGCGCATATTCCTTGTTCTTCTACTGGTGATCTGCACAGTATTCGCTCGACCGTCATCAGAAGGACAGTATTTGTCGCCTGCTGACTACAGACTACTAAATGACGCTCTTCTCATAGATCAAGAGATTGCACGAGAGATGTACCGAAGACTGAATGCAGAGCCAAAATCACGGTTGCGACGAAGGGTCAGTCATCCACTATGTAGAAAAAAATGAAAGAGATCATGTGGAAATGTCAAAAATGGCTATAGCATATAGCTAGCTATAAGTACTCTAATATTCGTCAGGCAATTCTCATATATGCACTTCAACACTAAATAATAGTGCTAAGAACGTACAAGACAATTTATCACCTTTAGCATTTGCGTACTTTAATTTTTGAACTACCGTAACATAGAATGGAGTAAGTTCGTAGAGCACGCTTTACACTCAATTCACATACCTTCAGCTTCATTTTGAACTCATTTTCGCGAGTGGTTAGATGTAAATGAAGCCCGACACCTAACCCCGATACTCATGAAAAACAATAAAGATGAATTACCAGAATCTGCGGCTGTCTTCGTCTTTTATATTTCTAAGTTTTATGATTCAAATTTTAGGCAAACGCTTTGGAGACAAAAAGCAAGAGGGTTAGGATCGGCGGAAACATTGTGATGGGACGGAAGAAATGAAGCTATATGAAGTACATTCAAAAGCATCCGCTAAGGATTCCGCTATCTACAATCAACAAAAACCTTGAGAGTAGTCGCTAGAAAGTCTCCTATCGCGATATTCCAACAACGACGTCAGCATATTCTACTTTCATACAACAACATATGATCTCGCTAGAATTTTAACTCGACATAGCAATCATCGAGATTCTTAGATTGCAGCACTTTTGCTTCTATTTCCAAGTCCTATATTATTCCGTGCTACGATTGAGATCTACATAAGCAGATTCTTCATGTCAAAGTCCTCATCTTCACCCAGATCTCTGCAGATACCTTGCTTCATTCGACATGAGAGATGTTCTTATCAGTTCTTCTTTAACTTTATGTGTATACACTGTATTGCCTGTTATCAAAACAGCTGGGCATATTCCTGCTCGGCTCTATTGGTGTGAAACATTGTGTCAAATTTTCTTCATGTGAACGTACCCAATAAAAAGCCCAGGTTGAACATACCAGTATAAAGGTTAAGGAAGTTAACATCCGCACTCAGGAACATAACTTTCAAGATGTGATGAACTACGAATGCCACATCAAAAAAGTAGGATGACAATGCATTTCCAGATTCAAATTAGAATCGTTACGGTAAGATTTTGAATAGAAAAAGCTTTTCGCACGCATTTCATGCATTACGAATGTTAGTGATGTGTCTGAATTTCGACACAATGATTTGAAGCACAGTCAACAAAAAAAAACTCTCACAATGCAACGCTTTCCTTCTTCTCTTAGAAGCACACTGTTCACGGAAGGAAAGATAAAAGAGGTAGTATGCACTTTGAAAAAATGGTATGATTTCGCATCCAAATTTCGTTTTCAAAACTGCAAAGACCTTACAGCACCGACATTTTGAGCATCTTGCTGATTTTTTGTTGACCGTAGATTTACCTCTATCACATTTTGGCATACTTTGTATCAGTGGTGATTAATTTTTGCATATACAGAATTAATGCTACAAGAACAAGTATAGGCTGTACCAACCAGCATCGGTCATGCGACGTCGGCCTGCGGCAACTCGCGACGGTGGGATGTGACGCGTGCGAACTCTGCTACGCGTTAGGGATCGTTCATACCGCGCACGAAGGCGGACGAAGGCGGACGAAGCCGGACAAAGGCGGACGAAGGCGGACGAAGCCGGACAAAGCCGGACAAAGGCGGACGAACTGCCAAAACGTAGGGGTTTGCCGGCGAAGTGCCATATTGGAATACGCGTGAAATACAGTGCGCGTTGTGCGTTGAGTTATATATGACTAACATACGTGCACAACGCGCGCTGTATTTCACGCGTATTCCAATATGGCACTTCGCCGGCAAACCCCTGCGCTTTGGCAGTTCGTCCGCCTTCGTCCGCCTTTGTCCGTCTTTGTCCGGCTTTGTCCGCCTTTGTCCGGCTTCGTCCGCCTTTGTGCGGCTTCGTCCGCCTTCGTCCGCCTTCGTGCGCGGTATGAACGATCCCTTAAAGCACGTCGCATGCGGCGATGCGATTTCGCAGTGCATGATAACGCGAGACCGATGCCGGCTGATACGCCCTATAATGGCGAATGAGCGAGTAAAACTTGAGCACAGTAGAGGGTATGCCTGTTTGAACTCTGATAATATTTCCTCAAGGCTAAAAATCTACTTCTCCAAAAATAGTCACTACTCACCAATCAATTCCACATACTACACTACTTTATCTGCATCCATGAACCACACTACAAAATGGTGGACTACTACGAACGGTAAATGAGAATAGTTGGATAACCCTTAGTTACCGGGTTCATTGTGAACAGTACACAAACATTTTGACTGGTATTCGAGCCAGCTTTTCTTTCTTTGCAAAAGATGAATTTTTGATTGCTTGCTGCGTGCTTACACAGTCGCCAACTTTTTAACCCTATTTTTTCAACGCGTCTAACCTCAAACGGTTTTGAAATTTTATAATTACAGTTCAATCAAGTCTTTTTCCAAGGCAATATTCCACTCCCCAATCATTGGCTTTTAGAGAATGTCAATTCTGAGTGACAGAACTTTACATTCTTTTGGTCCAGTTATCCTTCGATGCAAGCTCCCTATCCATTTCTAAAGTTTTTTGTTTGCTGTTTATGCAGACTGTACAGATTTGTGATAGATCGCAGTTTTACAAGTGCTCATCGCTACACCCATAACTCTAACAAGGGAACGATCCCAACTTAAGGTGGCGAATCGGAATGATCCGCATACTATTAGATGCGTCTTGATGAGCTGATTCCAAATCTGTCTTCCATATCTGCGACACCGTTGTCTGCAAAAAGTTATGAGCGGTTGAAAATGTGAAGTTATCGCGATTTTTATGCATACTATGCTTTAAAATCCAACTTGAAAGTGCACGACTAGCATGATATTGAGTGTACTGATTTCAGGGAATGCTCAGATTCTAAAAAACACAGATAAGTGTTTTTGAACAACTAATTTTCGAGGTATGGCGCTGTACATTTGCCAAATTTGGACTTTTCATTGCTCATAGCTCTTACCAACGACTTTAGTTGCTTTTTAGCTGTTCAAAAACACTTATCTGTGTTCCTTTAGAATCTGAGCATTCCCTGGAATCCGTACACTCAATATTATGCTAGTCGTGCACTTCCAAGTTGGATTTTAAAGCATATTATGCACAAAATCCCCCATAACTTCACATTTTCAACCGCTCATAACTTTTTGCAGATAACGGTGTCGCAGATATGGAAGACAGATTTGGAATCAGCTCATCAAGACGCATCTAATAGTATGCGGATCATTCCAATTCGCCACTTTAAGTTGGGATCGTTCCCTTGTAAGACCCGGATATTTAAAAGCAGGGACACTCCTGTACTTTGTAATATCAGGATTCAATGATAAACAGGTTTTAGGCTATTTGAATACTGAAGAATTGCCAGTATTTGACATTGAAGCGAGGTTATGAAAAAAGTCCCGAAAACAGTTTGAAAAACGCCACAAAAGGTATTGGAAGGGGATGGCTTGCTCTACCTGCCTTCATCACATGTTCAAAAGTCTGATCAGATATTCTAGAAAATTCGAAAATAGGCTAGATTCATACGAAACAGAAATAACCAATTAAGAACCTGGAGGCTTTGAAAAGATCATCAACAGATTCAGATAAGATAGCAACTGGAGAAAAAGGGAAGATGTATAGCGTTCAATGTAGTTCCCTAACTTCTCTGCAATATGCGGATTGTCTGAGGAAGAAATGAAGTCTTACTATATCTGTATCACCCTGGTCGAGGGAAGAAGAAACTTGCGATATTTCTTAGAAGAGCAGGTTACTTATGGAGTCATATGCAAAAGACGAGCAAACAAAGGGATGAATGCTCCTACTTTCCTTTTAAGCTATACTCATATCTTGCTTTCGATAGCTTCGACATGTCATGGGCATTTGCGTCAAGCTTCTAACTGTAAGTTCAAAAATCAAATAGATTAGACTGTTGCAAATGAAAAGCTAACGGAAAGATCTAGATTGCAATTGGAAATTGTAAAACGAGAGAAACATTATACATAGTAAAAAGCACGATTCAGAGGAAAAAACACAAGAGCGAAAGTGTTGATATGTGGTTAGAACGCTGTGATATGGTATCGTTTCTGTGTAAAAAGTAAACTGTAGCTACGCTACATTGCTTCCAGCAATGACTGCAAGCAGACATACCAAATCAAAACCAAGAAGAATATAGCAGGATTGGCAGGGACGATGCAGCTAATAAAAAAATGGACAAAATATGAAGAGTGCGGCTGTGACTACTCAGATGTATTACAAACTACTCAGCAGAAGCACATGTCTACCGGTCCCACATGACCACTGCCATCGCGCACAAGACCGGGAGAGGCAGAACAAAAAAGCTCATATTGACTGAACCCCTCCAACATGCTGATAAACCGATCTTTCTCTTTGTTTCCATAATACATGCAACAAACAATTCAAAGTGAACAGCGAAGAGCTAAACGCACTTTTCATCGAAGTCAAAAAGTGAAGGAAACGAACCTTGAATACAAAACTTCGGCTGATTCCTTGTACGTTAAGTTCGTGCAGCTGAACCATTCGACCATAAGTAATTATGCCAACCATAGCATCGGCGGGAAGCAGTGACAGAGCTGTCTTAAACAATGAAATGAAAGATTTCGCGAAAATATGTTTTGAGCACAAATAGATATACATCGGCTAAGCCATACAAGGCGCGGATGAAAATTGACTATCTCAGACCTGCAAGCTTTCCTTCAGTGCCTTGAGTTCATCAGAAGTTATGCAAGTGTCCACAACAAACATGAAGATTGGCGGCATTGTGGTAGCTTTCTATAAAGATGTACACTATCCATCATGTCAGTACACCATGAAAGCATCAAAATGTGATAGTACACCGGAGCAACAATTGTTGTGAAAGTTCTAAGCGACATCACAGCGCCTACAAATCAGATGTAACACAGTGCCATATTTTGCCGCTCAATCTGAGTAAGCAACAAAATGTTATAGCTCCCGAACTCTTTCAAAAACGGTTGATAAAAAACTCCCCCCCCCCATGTGCTCGGAAAGGAATGAGGAATATACAGAAAATGCATCCTATATCAGCTTGAACAAGAATTTATAAGAGTTATGATTACCATATATCATCTGAGTGCATATATAGAAGTTTACGTTAAACATATAGGAAGCAAAAATAACCAACATAATATTTACCTTCAGCGTGTATTCTATCGTTGTAAACTGCGGATACAGTTCGGGTGGTCGATTATCCTCAGCGATTGCGGCATAGTGAGCAGGGAATGGGTTTCTCTGGTTACAGAAAGGACACACCCAGGTTTTAGCGCGGAAGTCCACGAAACTGAAAAGATATGTGAGCATAGCAGATGGCTGCTTGTTACAAGGGAATAAATTAAGTTGGACATATAGGTAAGGTTTCAAGATGTTAACGCAAAAAGAACTTCTGAGAAAATGGAAAAAACGCTTCCAAAAGAAAAGATTTACAAGTGGTAGCGCTCACATTGCAGTGAACCGTCACACTCAAACCGTTATACTGCGCTTACTGGCACGTTCACAGGGTCTCAAAAAAGCCAACAATAAGCTGATATTGAACACAGGATAAGCATGACTCACCATAACGGATTTAGGATAGCCTTACAACTAGCTTTCTGACATAAAACGGGATCATACTCGAGAGGCGGTTGCTGTGGCTGATCAGCTGGCCTTTCCTGGAAAAATTTGTTTTGCCATAGAAAAACTTCTGAAAACATTTTACAACTAACTACATACCTTCAGAGGTGTGAAAAAACAAGATACAGGAACTACGAGTCGTTGCGCATCTACTCTGCTGTGGGGCCACAAGTTCCACGTGAACTGCACTCCATCGACAGACTGCTGAGTGGCTAGATATTCCTCCCAAGTAGCCATAGAGCCCTAAATATGGGATGAGAAGTGGTAATAAAATAAGGAAAACGATTATATGTTCCAAGAACGCGAAGTTCCAGGGATGTATGGATTTAGGGATATAAAGTTATTAAAAACCGGACGAGAGAGAGTCTGAATAGGGAAAATCCATGAAAAGAGAGGAATCTGCCTTGTTTACAAACAATGACACAATGCTAAGCTGCAAAAGAGCATGCGATTGTCGTTTCAAAAAGCATCATGAAAGTGCGCTTCAAAAAGATATGAACGAATGATGCGAAATCTGACAGATGAAGACAAATTGGCGCTATTCCACATAAGTTGACCCAAAAAATGAAGATCGTGAATTTCGCTAAAACTTCGTCTAGGGAGGTTATTTGGTACGCTGAACACGAATATGATGTTTATTTCGTGCGACAGCGCCATCCGGTGGAGTTACGATAGGACTACGGTAGGGGGTCAAAATCACGGATTTGTCCGAAACTTGGCCTAGAGGGGTTATTCGGCCCGCTGACGCCCAATGTCACATTGGTTTCGTACTGTAGTGTCATTTTCTCGAGTTACGGTGATTATACGGTAGGGAGTCAAAATCTCGAAATTCGCTGTAACTTTGCACAGAGGGGTTATTCGACATGCTGATTAGAAATGTCATACGTTCTCCGCACGAAAACGTCTCCCTGCATGGTTACAGTAGGTTTACGGTAGGGGTCAAAATCACAAATCGGCAAATGTATCTTTCCCCTGTGCTTTGCTTAGGCAAAAGCCGCAGCAGAGTGTGTAGCGCGCGGCGGTGGTCATGTCTGCAAAGCTTCACCATCATCCGAATCGCCATAACCCGTTTCGGGATGAACTATGTTTTACACCCGTTACCGTGTTTCTACCGTAGCCCGAGAAAATGACGCTACGGTTCAAAACCAACGTGATATTTGGCATCAGCGGGCCGAATAACCCCTCTGGGCCAAATTTCGGGCAAATCCGTGATTTTGACCCCCTACCGTAATCCTACCGTAACTCCACCGGATGGCGCTGTCGCACGAGATAAACATGATATTCGTGTTCAGCGTACCAAATAACCCCCTTAGACGAAGTTTTAGCGAAATTCACGATTTTCATTTTTTGGGTCAACTTATGTGGAATAGTACCGACAAATTGTACAGAATGAGCTTACTACGTACAGATATTGAATTAGTTCAGAAGAATGATGCCAGCGTATCTACAATTCATGAAGTTGAACCACGTAAGCAATTGTGCGTTCACCACAAAGCGGCGGATATGTGCCGCGCGCGACAAACACGTGTTACCTTCAGTTCCGACTTATGCTTCTCAGTTCGGCAGGCAATAAAAGCCTGTCAGACCCTTGTTGAATAGCCTGTTCGAAAATCTGTACCAATGAAGTCCTACCGTCAAATGACTAGCGGAAATCAAATAAATAGTTTCAATTTAATTGTTGAGTATTGTGACGAGTTCGCAGGGAGTGGAGCGCATAATCGTCAGAATGGAACGCAAACATCAGCCCAACGTACGCTGTTCATACGTAGTGAGAAAGTGCTTGCGCTAAATTTTTAAGTCGCCGGTTCAGGATAATATCGATGAGTTTTTAACATCAGTGCGAGTAGCTAGAAGGTTTTGTTGTTGCGACATTGAACTATGCGGTCTTGTTGAATGCTTTGGACAAGCGCAGTTTTCTAGTACATTCTTGCGCTCGTATAGGCAAAGTTGATCCCTCGAGCTTGCTCCAATGTGCTCAATACTTCCAAAAAGCAATTTTCTAACACATAGGAGGCATTCCACGATTTCTACCATTTCGGGCCAGTGACTTGCACCGTCAAAGTTACGATCTAGCGGTACATACAATACCACTCATAATTCGTCAAAAAGACGGCGGCGGACTCCGCAGGAGTGCGCTGCAGTCCGGCGGAGTGCGACGCAGTGCGCCGGAGTTCGGCAGCCACACTCCACTAGAGTCCGCTGGAGAGCAGCAGAGTGCGCCGCACATCACTAGAGTCCGTCGGAATCCGCGTATCGCCATATCTCGCTTCAGAATGGACAAATTCTGAATCCAAGGACACCGTTCGATTCAGCTCGGCGAGATCCTCCAGCATATAGAATCTAGCAATCTAGATAGGTATACGCTTAACAGGAAGTTTTCGCTCAATTCTGCACATTTTTTGTTTGGTTGAATTGTTCAGTGTGCTGATAACAGTATTGCCATTGATTTGTCGCTGATGACACATAGAAAGTATACTATAGGCGTATGGCAGAGATTCACTCTGATCGAATTTGTTCCAAAATTTGCTCAAGATCACAATATCGTTCAAAGAATGTCAAAATTTCCGTGAACTTCGCGGAATTCCGAAATTTCCGCCAGAGTCCGCGGTAATCCGGGAAGTTCGCGACATTTCAGGATTCGCGGAATTATGGGAATCACGCAGAATACGCAACGCCATAACTTCCTTCGGAATGAATATATTCTAAATCGAGGGCGGAAGCAGCATTGTGTTTCGTCGAGGCAAATCTTTTGATGTACAGCATGCCCTCGATATTCCGTTTCCAGTTTTTTCGAATTTTTTCTGTGGGGTCCTTTCGCAAGAATGTAACGCAGCGTCTGTGTAACCCAAAAGATTTCAGTAAGCACTGTTTGATAGTATTGTCCTTGTGGGTTATCGTGCGTTCAAGAGTAGCTGGAGACTGTCTTTCGGGAGATAGAAGCGTTGGTGAATTTTGAAAAAAATCACGCGTCTCTAAATTCTGCTCGCCGTAAGATCCTTCGAAATGAACATGTTCTGAATCTGAAGAAAGCGTTGTGCTCATCAAGGTAAATCTTTCGATATACAGCATGTCCTTGATGTTCCAATTTCATTATTCTCAAATCTTTCTGTAGACCTTTTCGCAAAGGTGTAAAGCAGCGCGCATTGCTCCTAGTAGACTCCAGCAAGGACCTTTCGATAGTACTTATTCTGTAATTATGTAGCCCTAAAAAGTAGTCACAGGCATCTTTCCACTGGAGATAGAAGGGCTAGTAAATTTTGACATTCAGAATCAGGAGTATGAGAAGGCCCTGGAACGGCAAAAACATGGAGGTCGAAATTTTGGGTGGAGTGCCTTTAAATTCCGTTGTTTTTTCTAACATTTTAGGCCGGTCATAACAAAATCGCTAAGCAAAAAACGAAAAAAATCGATAAATCGATGGCGCCACCCGATGATTTTCGGTAAAAAAGCTTAGTGACATCCGTCCCACCCCGAAGTTTATGTGTTCAAAGTTCCATCCAAATTGCTTGATTCTTTGTACCATTTCAGACCGGTGTGCTTTCCCAAATATTATGTAGGTATTGATCTATACAAAAGTTTACACAGTGCATTATTGCTGTTCTAATCAACTACATGCAAAAAATGCAAGAAGCGCGCTACTTCACGACAGAATCTGTCAGTTTAAAATTAATCCTTGTTTTCTTCTCCGTTCCAGCTTGCTGAATTTGTACGAAGTACCCTAATTTCACGAGTACGAAACGCATCTTTCTCATTTTCTCAAGCAAGCAGCTTCCGCACCACTGTGCCTCGCAAAATGGTCGCCTTTCCACACAATCTTTAGGGGCGGCACGGTAAATGGTCGCTTGGTCGCAAAAGTTTTCGGTGTGTTCAGGCTGGTCGAGTTTAGAGCATAGGGGCAATTTTCTGAAATGGGTACCCTCCAAAGTGAAGGGCTCCCGGCTGTTTTTGACTCCCAAAAGTGAAGGGTGTCCAAAAAGTGCGGACTTCGGCCGGGGGGGGGGGGAACTTATAAAAAATGAAAAATTATAAAGATATTCAATATAAATGCTTGAAATTTTAAATGAATTTGTATATTCTATACGTTCTCTGATCATGAAACCTGGGCATTGTTTGAATTCATGAGTTATGTTGTAAGCCACAAGGCATTTTTGAGGAAGGCATTTTTGCCGAAACGTTAGACCGAAATAAAGAACTTAACAAACCTGCGTGGCTTACAACATAACTCATGAATTTGTATAATTTTTTTTATGATGAGTGAAGTATTCAAGCCTTCGCGCATCGGACACAAAAGGGCATGGCTGTAAAAGTTCCTTTGGATGAACACAGGAAGCCTCTTGAAAGACTTGGAAGCCCCCTTGTTTCTACCAAGATGTGATCTATGCAGACTCGTCCGAAAGTATTTGAAGTGACTACACACAAGGTTCGACACAAACTGGAGGTCGAGCTCTTTGTAAAAATAGGGATCGCGGGATCATCTGTCATGCATGACTCCCTACTCTAAAGCTTGCGTGAGGCAAGTGTTGTGAAGGCTTGGTCTGTTACAAAAAGGAGAGTCGATTTTTCCTAGGACGACGGCTACGGAGCTGGCTGGTTTTCGCCCTCCTATCCCTCCCCTCTCTTTCTATAGCAAATATATATTACTGAATAAATCTAGTTATTTTTCTTTTATACCCCGTAATACATGCTTAATTAAGGGAGCTGCAAACTTTTGTTCTGACAGTGCTCAGGGCCCCATATATGTATATCAGGTTAGAATAATGAGTTAAAAATGACTGTCGCATTTTCCCGAATCGTTTGTAACCTAATATGACAAGTCGGCAGAATATGCGCGGCACCCGCTTTCTTCTTTACTAGTAACTCTCGGCATGATTTATTTTAGCGTAACAATGTGTAGAGATGTGTAATACTAAGTTAAAAACAGCAAATTAAAACAGACAAGGAAACAAAGAAAAACAAAGAAATTTCAATTTTGAAGTTCGTTAAGTAACGCGCAGGGCGTGCAACACGCATATCAAATTAGAAATGGCTCTACGATATCTGTTTACATATGCGAGTTGCCGTTTATTTCATTTCTTGGCATCATACAATATAATTATGATATCAGTCATTCGATACTAGGTCAAAGTTACGGATTTTCGTGAGAAACAGTAATACCTTGGGGCAGTTCACGTGCTGATCATGAAGATAATACTCATTTAATTCACTAAGGTTTTACATGGAGACTATAAGTAGTGAGGTAGGATCGTTAATTGAGAAAGTGATAGTTTTCTATGGTAGTTTCCAAGAATATCATAATGATTAGCATACCAGAAAAACCTTTATCAAAGGATTTCTGCTCCTAATAAACGGCATGTATCAAGGATCGATGCGGCAAATTTTGATACGCGAGGATCTCTCGTCCACCCCGTATTCAATATGCACTTGATTCCAGTAGAATCACTTCATTTTCTTTGAACGAACAAAGGAAGCGTTTTAGTCGAAATTGCCTTTCGAAATGAGCTGTACACCACTTTGACGTGCTTCAACGCTGATTCCGGAGCTGTTCACATTATCTGCCAAACACTCCTGGACGCCGAATTGTGTTTTTAGTAGCGGAAAATGAACGCGAAATCCAGGTGAAATCAATTGTAACGGTTCTTCACCGCTCAAATAGAGCAGTGTTGAGTATGAGTATATAGACAAAAGTTCTTCCATGCATAAAGTGCTCTGACATTCAACACTGGGCCATTCATTTCACTTGAGCAATTCGGAATTTGTTTGTGGAGCGTTCAGTTTTTGGCCCAAAGCTCACAACTTGGCGTCCAGAGGCGCTTGGTAGTAAGGAAGACGATTTGGCATCATCGTTCAATCGTTTGAAGTGGTAGAGTTGTTATGTGAAAAGGCTTCGACTAAAAGATGCTTCCCTTGTTAGTGTAGAAAAAATGACTCTGGAGTAGGAATGAAGAAAATGATGATATAAAAAGGATTGTTATACGGATAGCGGAACTGAAAGAAACGGTGCAACAGCAGCAAAAAATTGAATACTGTTTGATCGATAATTCGATATATTAGGTCGTTTCATAAGTTCGTAGACTTTTTATTTTTGTCGCCGTTTTTCGATGAAGCGGTTCGTTTACGGCAAAGTGCCTATACCATTGAAAAGAGAAAATCTTGCTCTACAAGTACTGTTGTTCGTTTTTGGAGCAAACTTGAATCCCCTTCTTTTACGACTTATCAAAGCAAAATTTTTTGAGAGGCAAAAATTGGCGATTGCGGCAACTGCACTTTCCGCATTTGGTCCGTATTCCGCAAGATGTTTCTGTCATAGGTAGGCGGGATGGATAGTAGCAAGCAAGACTGAAACACTGACAAATTTGCAGCATGCCAATATGCATAGAACCGTTTGAACAAGGTCCCAATGGTTTTGTTGTCTTTGACTGCTGCCGCTTGAGTTTGGCGCGTTGTTCAGCGACACAATGTGTCGGTCCTCCTATCGGAACTTGAGGAATGGATGCGTTTTTCTAAGTGGTGTAGATGTATGAGTACAAGCTCTGACCAACATTTTACGCTTTCTCAAAAAAATTTTTGACGTGGGAACTTTTTAAAATTGTGCCAAACGCAAAACATCTACACACATGGTAAACGTGCGCTTAATCTTTCTTTATAGCCTCTCTTTGGATATGGAGACTACTTTTATATGCACCGTAGTGCCACAAACAGTTGTTTCTCATCACTCATAACAACTTCAGACGAAAAATTCCCACTTGTGGCTCCGTATACGGATCGAAAGTTGCAGATGCCGCAATCGCCAATTTTTGCCTCTCAAAAAATTTTGCTTTGATAAGTCGTAAAAGAAGGGGATTCAAGTTTGCTCCAAAAACGAACAACAGTTCTTGTAGAGCAAGATTTTCTCTTTTCAATGGTATAGGTACTTTGCCGTAAACGAACCGCTTCATCGAAAAACGGCGACAAAAATAAAAAGTCTACGAACTTATGAAACGACCTAATACATTGGAGGGATAAATAATTGATAGCAGAGTGGAACTATCTGAAAGGGTTCAGTAGCAAACAAATTCACAATGGCGCTTGATTCGGCGGAGGACTGCAAAGTGATAAAAACATGCAGATCAATAAAAAAAGGACTAATAAAAGGAGAAAAGCGAACAGCAACATCATAGTAGTAACTGCCAGAATTACTATGCTGACGAGACGACGGTGGGACGACGATGTAGTTTTGGGAAGGCGATGACAGTCTTCAGTCAGGGTGGCAACGATTGTTGATGGTTGGCGATGTGCAATTGAGACGCAGCTGGTTGCACTGAGGAATCTATTTGTGGACGCATGATTATGCGGATGTGGTGAGGTGAGTTAAACCGTGCACCGTTAACAGTGAGATTTATATTGGTTTGAACAACGAATTGGCGTCTGAGCTGAGTAAAACCGCGTATTTATCCAAGGTCGAAGCCACAGTTTGTAAATGATCTTTGGCAAAGATTTTCGAATCTATCAGCAGTAAGTCGTGGCAAATCGGACGTCACCGCTGATGATTTTGAGCTCTAGTCCTTGCGGTGTCCAAATCCTAACACCTAACCTGATGTCCGCATTTTCAGAGCGAAATCTTTGTATAATTTTATGTAAGATGCTCAACATTTTAGTAGGCTGGATGCTTCGCTTCAAACATTATTTACTCAAACCGCCAGGGTGATGTTCTGCTCGACATCCGAAGTCTCGATGAGCCATTACCACGTGCGATTTCCACTGCTTCTCAGTTTTCAGCACTAGTTTATCAAGTAATAACGGCATAGTCAGGATATACCAAATCAGATTAAGGGGACGGTGGTTGCATTGTCGTCTAAATGGAAACAGGTTAAAAGTAACTGCGATTCTGAGCATTTTTCTTGAGTATCGATTTTGACAGAAAGGTAAGCGAGATTCCTGGCTATCTCCTTGATTGGTTTGGAGAGATTGCATGAACAATGTGAGGATAAAATTGGACTTCTTCCCAAAAAGACAAGTCCAATAAGTCTTACTTTTTGAGGTTACGTGTACAACAAAAACTTCGGAAGCAGAAGGTTACAGTGATGGTCACATCATTACAATTTTTGTTATTGGATAAGGCAGTCATACGTTGGTCAGCTTCTAGTTAACTTCTATGATGAAACAACGGTCGAAAAGCCCTTCTTTTTCCAGTGCAGTTCTTTCTTCTCTTTTTGATGGTAATAGTTTGTAAGTTTGTAAGATCTTTCAAATTCTCCCATATAACTAAATTTTGTCCAAATTTTCATCATATTTGCCATGCTCAAAAGCGCTAATTTTCAAAGTTCTGATTTATTTTGAGACTATTAGTATGCAGACAATACTAGGCCGCTCCGAAAGTTCTTCCGTCAATCTACATTGAAACATGAGACTAAATTCTTATATCTCGCAGTCATCTTTTTTGTAATTTTTTAAATATTTTTTTTATCTCGTAAATGAAGTAAAATCATTGTCGAATCTTCGAACCCATAATTTGCGACATGCCCAACTTTACCAACTTCTCTAATTTTCTTTCTAAACTTTTGGAGGTGTTTCAAGGTTGATAGAGAAAACAAAGGGGAATGTGATGCATTTTGACATCCGCAGTTTGCTTTCAAAATTTTCGGATTGATTTTTCTCAAATTCGTATATTTGGTTTGCACCACATGTAACCAAATCGGCGCTACTCGGCTGACATGCGATGAGCTCGCCTCCCCTTTCTAACATTCTTTTTTACCTCTCATTTGTGCCCTCATTTCATTCTACAAGAATTCTTATGTTCTCCCAATCATCTTTTTTGATTTTTCAAGTTAGCAGCTCGGCCGTATCATTGTGCCTCGCGAAGTGTCGCTCACCCACACAAATTTAAGTAAGAAGTAACACGATAAGGAGCTTTTGATCGCGAAGTTCTTTGGTGTGCTTAGGCCGATCGAGTTATAGAAACAGGTGGTCTTGTATTCGTGAAATTAGAGTAAAACCGGGTATAGAATCACCATAACTCTTGTTTTTGAAGAAGGTCTCAAGCTGTATTCGGATTTGAGCTTTAAAATTCTAAATCGTGAATGGATTTGATATTTTGTTACGGTGAAGAATTATTTGCTTTGCAAAATTCGTATTGTATCATAATCCATTCTTCAAAGCTTTACCGAAAACTTACTGCTGCCTGATGCGTTTCAAATTGGGCCTGAATCGTTACTTCAATGAAATTAGATAAAGAGTTGTCCTATAGGGTTTGCTCTATCTAGCAACTACCTTCAAGATGCGGATATAAATTAGAAAGTGGCGAAAGCTGAGGCGAAGACCTTGAGTTGCAGGCCTCGGTGTTTTTGTTTTGAGAGCACGTTTGTTACAGTGCAACATCCATACTATTTGGAAGAAGATGAACTATTATATCGGATGCGACCAGAATCAGTTGTGGGTGGTAAATCTACGGGATGACACTCGCAACCTAATAGCTATATGTCAAATATCTCAAGTATTTCCGTTTATGACTACTCTTCTAACATCATTATCTTGATTTTCTTCCACCGAAATCATGGAATACATGGCTATGACCAGAACCCGGCAGTTTAGAACTCTCCAGAATTCAAAGCTTAATTATAGCTGTTGAGAAAAAGTGCTGAAATCTAACAAAGTCCACTCTCGTACCTGCTAGCCCTGCTTCTTCAAAAAGCTGATTCAGAAATCTCAAGAAACAGGGTGCTTTGGCGCATTTGCAAGCTTAATCAGTCTATGTTCATATGTAGGCAAGCTGTAAAGACTCAATTCTAATTACTTTCTGAAGCTCTCATTGTGGGAGTTGTTGAACAACTACGCTTCTAAACATTCACTTGCTGGAGATCAAGTCCTCGATAAGGAACTCAAACACTTTATATTTTATATAACAAAAATTCGTAAGAGTTCGCATGTTATATCTAGCAAAATGACAATATCAAAAGAACATCAAGGCAAAAAAATGTCTACAATGAGATACCCTTATTGTAAAAAGAGATGATGAAAGAATCGTGCACAAATTAAGACGAACATAAACAGTACGAAAGTTAGACTAATTGGCAGAGGCGACTAGCCGACAGGATGAGTAATACAAGGAATAGAGCAGAAGCAGAGTTGCGAGAAACAGTCAGAAGCGGAGGGATATTGTGCTGAGATAGTGGATTACCTGACCTAGCTGAATTGAGCTTTGAAATCGTTGAGAGCTTCATCACTTTACAATTAGCGAGTTGAGCTCTCAGCTCGAAGAAATGTCATTGAATATGTATGTATAAACAAGAAATCTCTGATAACTGCAATAATTTAGTTGCACTTTCGCAGTGATTATGATAATATCGCCGGAAACGAAAAGTTATATTTTAAACGAATGACTGAATTGAGCAAGCGTCGTCTGTAACACTTCAAGTTTTTAATACTGCCTTTTTCCTGGTTCGTATTCGAGACCGGGGTCGAACTGCTCCAACACATAGACCTAAAAAGTAGTCAGCGTAAAAAAATACTCCACTCAATAACTTCAGAAATCTCAAACTGTATACGTAGTTTCCTCCACAAAATAACAACACTGCTTCCCAGCTACATATTTTGTTTGATCTCAGTTACTTAAGTTGAGATATTCCTCAAATTGAATTTAGTGAGAAGATGCTGTTGGTAAGTCCTCCTTCTTTGTTATTTTTCTGAAACATGGAAGCCCTTCCATGATGAGCTCAAGGGTCGTCAATTTACAAGGAGAGGACCCGAAGTCGGAAATGGCATTTCAAATGAGACGTATAGTAGTCTGAAAGCATTAAGCGCTATCAAAGCATCCAAAACTGTCTTTGTTATCTGCCAAGCGCTTCTAGACGTTGAGATGAGCGTCTTTGGCTAAAAAAATTGAACTCGCAACTGGAACAAATTCGTCCAAAATTGCACAAATGGTGCAGCGTTCGATGTCAGAGCACTTTATGCATGAAAAACTTTCTGTATATCGTACCCAACACTTCTTTATTTGAGCAAAAAAGACCATAACCATTGAATTTACCTAGATTTTGCTTTCATTTTTCGCTCCAAAAGACACTAATAACTCAGCGTCTAAAAGCGCTTGGCAAGAAACAAAGACATTTTTGGAATCAGCGTTTGATGCTCTTCAAATTGGTAAGTATTTCGTATGGTAAGCCGATTTTACTTTGGGTCCTCTCTAGTTAATCTTCCGTATGTGATAGTAATAGAACCAAAAATGAATATTCCAAGCTTCTTCATCATTGTGAGGTTGCACGACTTCCCGAAAAGTATGGGAAGGTCGTGTCGTCAAGGTATGAACTTCTACTAGTTTGAGAGTTTTTGTAATCTTTGATTTCGCTATTTCTTCCTACGTGAAGTGCTTCCTTCGTCATTCCTTCACTCAGTTTTCAGAAGTGATGCATTTAGCAAAGCGTTTTGAAAAGTGAGGAGACTGTTTGCCAAAGGCTTTCTTGGAGTTCACGTTCTTCTTCGTATTGGAGCAACTCACGTAATCAGAGCTTCTTATTCGCAGCTCGGCGGGTGGATTTGTGATAACATATCGCTTCACGGATTCGGCATTGTCTTGATCGTGTAGCCGATACAAACCGATGCATAATTGGCCATATTTTTTCAAGGACGTGGTGAACATTTGACCATAAGTAGAGTTGTGCTGAAAATGGCTATTTTTAGTTTGCGAGGTGGGTTTTAGAAATGTTATCCTTGAGATAAATTGTTTCTAATCTTCCTGGAAACATGCCAAATTCTGCAATCTTTTTATCAATTGCTAGCCTCACTTGAAGTTAGTCAAAAATTGTCTGCCCAACAAATTATTGTTTCAGAATGCTCACCCCAATTCCTTCATAAGGATTGTCATGTAGCGCTATTTGTGCTATCCGACATCGATCACGGTTCGCTAACGTCTCGGGTGTGCTATAACCTCCACGAAGGCCGGCGCCCTCGGCTAAAATCAACTCAAGTTCCGGAGTGGCTCCTCCAGTCACCAGCGTTCGAATCAGTGTTAAGGCCGAGTCGTTGAAATAAGTCTAAATAGTGAATACATAGCTTAATCCCACTCCAGAAAGGGTGGTTTTTACCGTGCTCATCAATGAATCCAACACTGATATGGCAAAAGCGGTGCCGCAAGCGAATGGTTGCGTGAGGTACAGTTCGGTGTCTGGATCATCGTCATCGTCTTGATCGAGGAACTGCACGTTCGAGTCGTTCACTAAAACGTTCAGTCCATCATCTAGAAGACTTTCTAGATGATAGAGGAGATATTCACTAGCCTAGCTCGGTTATCATTGGCACGTTTGTGCCGAACCGTGCACCTTTTTTCTGCATACTAATCGGGCTTCCGAGAGGGCTCCGATCACCGCCACGCAGAGGAAAGAATCCCAGAGTGTCATCAAACTAAAAGTGGTTTGTTGATACTGAAGATTGCTACGACGCTCAAAAGGAAAATTTTTCCAAAGGTCATAGTCTTCGTGTGCACAATGCGAACAAAGTAAATTGTCTCACTATGTTCGAACGCCATTTCATGTCCATCAATGGGACAACATCCTTAAAGCGATTCAAGGCTCATTTTTGTATGTTATCACAGCTAAAACCACTAATAAAAATCCTTTTCTTCAAGATATAACTATGAACTATATTTAAACAAGCGCTTGCCAATTTAGACTGCATAAAGTGGCTACTTTGGTCAGAGGTACAGCGCACCTATTGAGTTTGATGCTTCTTTCACACTCTGACTTTTTGAAGCAGGTTGCTTCCATTACATTTTGACAAACCTGCATAGCCTTTATATTCAGTGAGGCTAAGATTGCTTCCTTGTCTGCCAGTGTCGTATCTTCGGTATTTGGCACTCGAGCAGATATGATCACACACATATCGCAAAGATTGATGTTGACAGCACGTAGATCAGCACGCGATAGTGGTGAACCCTGAATGAACACGTTTCAAATTGCCTAACGCAGTGACACTTCTATTTTCCCAAAATTCCATGATTTGTCCTGATTAGGTTAGAAGAGCTATAGAGCCTCGTATCGTGTCATGTGATGCAAGGCTCCTTGAAGCATGGCTGTTGGGGCACAACTCGGATAATCGCCGGGGGCAGGCGGTCCGCAAACTCGCGCTTTTCTGCAAGCGGTTAGCAGAATTTTGGGGTGTGGCCAAACCTTCAGCGAGCAGTACTTCCTTTACTGTCTAATGTTCTGCCAGCGGGCAGCAACACAAAATTTTCTGCAGGCGCTCTCAAATAATCCTTTTCAGCAAACGCTGGCCGAACTTTTAGCAGACGCTCGGACTCTTTTTACGCAGTTTCGGGCTTACGTCGAGCACAGGTAAGACTATGTGTGGCAGAGGTGTCACCGTTGGTTTAATTACTCAAGTTTGAGGTACTTTCTCCCAGCGGAAAGTACCTGGGGGCTGCGCGGTCCTCCACAAAGAACCGTGCAGCCCTCGAAAATTTTGCATATTCTCGCGGAAAATCCGCGAGAAGGCGGCCACTGCACCGCAGCTAATCTACAAGGAAACCGTGATTGTTCTCCAAGCATTAGACTAAAATTTCGCTAAAATCCTTCCAAATATCTGCAAGCGGACCACAGAAAATCAGCGAACTATTTTTCCGGTGCCCGCCCGCCCACAAATCGCATGGCCGCCTGCCCCCAGCGATTATATGAGCAGTTGACGCGTTATGCGGAGATGATCACGATAGCTGAGAATCGCTCCTCTCGGAATCGGCGCTGGACTTTTTCTCCCTGGATCGTTGCCAGCTCAGCGACTATCAACATCGGGTCGTTCCCCAGTTTAGCCCTTTTTTTCGTTATCAACTTCTTTGTTTTATATGTTTGAGATGGATTTCAGAAGCGTATGTTTCCGTCCTCCATAATTATTTTCAAAAGAGTAGTCACACGAGATGTCTTCTTCTAATTTGGCGGATTGGATTAGTCTGGCTTGAATTCGTTTATGAATTCGAGCACAACTTTATGAAAAAGTTGAAATGAATCAACATCGGGTGTGGAAACTAAGACGGTGGAGAGCTGGTTGTGCCGTGCCGACAGTATCATTACTGGTAGTATTGTTTCTACATGACTGTTATGATGTCATCAGGATGAAGATTCTCAAAAATACATCTTTCGATCGGTCGCACTTCAGCTGCAGTAGGGTGGGTCGTCGTTCATATGACAATCAAGCCTCGATATCCAAGTGCTTAAAGACTACTGGTCTGCTACACCGTAAAAGTAGTTACAATCGATGTCAACCAAGTGCTCCCTTTTCCGTAGCGACTACGCGTCCGCAGCGCAAGGGCCGCAGCGATCCCGAACGATAGGCGAAATTTGAATGCGCAGGTTACACGCGCGCGAACGCGGCGCGAGGCCCTGTGGTTGCGATTTGGCTGGTGGAATTGAGCATACGGTTGTCACGGAATGTAGTTTCGATGCATCTTTAAATCTTCAGCCCCTTTTGCGTGTCTCTTAGTTAGCCTTTTGCGCTGCGTTGGATTTCGAATCCATCATATGCCATCCTTTCAACACATACTAATAGAGCATTTTTCCTTGCTCTCTTATCCTGCGTTTTTTCTTTTTTATTTATCTTGGCTACTATTTATGTATATTTCTTTATCTGGTAGTATAAGAGCCTTTTACAACAAAAATTGGAAGTTGATACGGTCCTAAGCTATGAAGGAGTATACACACAACTTACATTCAGAATGGAAATCTTCGGCAGATTGTACAACGTTTTCCATTCTTTCCTCAAGTAGTCCAAATCACCAACGATAACGACGTGTTTGAGCTCATGGTAGTGGAAGTTAGAAGCTCTAGACGGCAATTATCAAATTAGAATATACAGCATATTCTGCATACAGCACTCCGTACCTCAAAGGCATGATGAAATTTCTCAAGCCGATCAGTGGTGAATCCCGGTCAGCAAACAAGCATACGACAACGTGACCATTCAGAACGGTCATTGCTGCTTGGTGTCTCTCCTAAACAGTCAGAATACCCAAAAATTAGTCTCTGCAGATGTGTCACTCACCAGAACACATTCGTCCAAGTTCCGCGCGGGACACCAGTGGAACATTCCAGTGGAATCGTATTTCATGTCCTGTTGCTCAAAATCTTTCGTAAAGTCGACACCTCGACCATCGGGCGGGATTGACATCGAGGTTCTTCTGCCGGAGGATGGCCTGAATAAATTTTCAGTGCTGATAACAGCCTACGCAGTTGAGCAAAAAAGGTAAAATTCAAAAACGAAAACGGGAGTGAAAAGTGGAAAAGAAAGATGCAAGGGTCACACTGTTTAGTGGGTGAAAACTAACTGCAGTCTGAGTTCAAAGTCAATTTCACTGTACAAGGAGTTTGGCAGCTGCAGTAGCTGGGTATTTAGTCATGACAAAAAAATATTTTTTAGCATGCTTCTCACACCCGAAGTGCATCAAACAACTAGATCCTAGCGTCACGCCATGCTGTGTGCCGAGACAACCTCCCACGCCAACTTCACGTCTTCGAAGGGATCCAAACGCTTGTGTGAGCACCGCAAAACAAACGGAAAAGTGCAAGAAAGGATGGAAACGGAAGAAGAAATGCATCAAAAACCTCGTTCTCGCATAGCATACAATTTTTAGTGGGCGATTTCAGACTGTTACTTACTATACAAAAGTTGATGGAGAAAAGAACCTGAGAGGTTGCACAGTATGGTGCTTTACCAGCCCTTCGTATAATTCTTTGGCGCTTTCATGAATCCGTAGATGCATAGGAGATTTTCAAGCTACCTTGATTGATAAACAGCAAGCCATATAATTTTTGTAATTTTTTGAAAAACGAATAATAATTTGATTCAAGCTTTCGGCAAAATCATCTGTAAGCATCATATAAATTCGTTTTTCTGCTCTTGAATTCTTTTAAAGTGCGTTTCCCTTGGTATGTAGGCTCCGTCCAGAATGCCGGAACTGTGTCGACACTAAGGCAGGCCGAGACAGCACTACTGGATCTGCCCCAATTCCAAGCAGGCCAAAACTGGCATGGCGGGAGTACGTGTCGCGAAGTATTGCGTTACTACGGCTAGCTAGTGTGCTCTCTCCTCAATCTCTTCGCTCTCTGCGACAGTGCGCGTACAGTCTGCCCCAATCGGGATCAGGCCGAACCGTCGGCTGAATTTGCGCGCTCGCAGCGCTAGGGGATTGCGCTGCATACGCGCGCTGTCGCAGAGAGTGAAGAGATCGAGGAGAGAGCAGACTAGCTAGCCGCAAATGTAGCGCGAAACCTTCGCGGCGCGGACTCCCGCCATGCCGATTTTGGCCTGGTTAGGATTGGGGCAGACTGTATGCAGCGCAAACCCTCAGCGCTGCGAGCGCGCAAATGCAACTGACGGTTCTGCCTGATCCCGATTAGGGCAGACTCTTGCTGGGAACCAGTCCCGCAATATGTCCCGCCCGTAACGAAATGACCAGTATTGATGGAATATAGCTGAGACAGCGCATCGTAGCTCCGGCGCTCTGGACGGAGCCGTACACTATTTGTCTAATACCGTAGTCCCAACTGACGGATCTGACTTGCATTAACAGTGTTGTAACTCAAAGACTCAAACCATTGCCTTATCCTACAGTATCTCACAGTTCGGATCCAGCAGAAAGGAAACGAGTCTTTTGATCACTGGTCCATGAGTACTCTTATCATGTGGAGGAGAGGATTATATGGGGGATAACAAGACTTGCTGATTGTACTCGGGATCCTTTACCAAGATGTGGCTATTGAACATCTGAAGAATCAGGCAATGTTTTCAGTATAAGTATCGTCGAGTCATTTGTAACTTAATTTGCGTAGTGCACACTATACAGGAAAACTGACGAACTGCGAGACTAGAATCTGCCCATTTCCAGTGATTTCTCCTTGCTTCCTTGTTTATGTTGTTTTAGTTGGTTATATGTTAGTCAATAGAACACATTTCTACAATTTGTTAGGCTAGAATATGTTTCGAAGTTACTAATACGGGTGCCGTCGCTAATAGGGCTTACTGCGCAATCTCAATATTAAATTACAAATGACTCGAGGTTAAGTCATTCCGTTTGTCTTTACCGGCCTGTTTGAGATAAAATGGTTAACTGTTAAATACCAATCGTCAGTAAAGAAACAGCAAAAAAATTGTAAAATACTGGTTATTCACGTAGCTAAGAAGAAAGTGGCGATAAGGAACGGCTCCCGAAGAGTCCGGCAGCTAAAGCTCAAGAGGAGAAGGGCACATGAGATAGGTACAAGGGCAAGAGGGCACAAAAGCAGAAGAGTAAAAGGCCAAGCGCACCCAGACATTCATTCGGAACGCTTCGCTAAGACTTTAGAATTTTCTGGAGACTATTGGACTGAGCTGATACGCAGCCTGCGTCCATTCTGAGACATGCTCTTGTCGTTTTTCACGTTTGCGCAATTGTAAAGGCAGCGTCCACCCAAACCTTCCATGTTTTTGTCATTTTAGGGTCTTTCCGTGGACCTAATTACATTTATGGAGTTCAAATGTGCAACCCCCCTCCAGAAAACCCGATTTGCGGGGACTCTGTAATGAAGACCTAGGACTTTCACTGCCTGAGCGGGCGGAGCTTTTGGGGATTGGGGCATGGCTTGATAGCACTTTCCAGGTTTCAGGTCCATTGTCTCCATTCAAAAATAATATTGGTGGACCGGAGTAAAGCAGGCTTTCCCTGGGGCCTGCTCTCAGGATGGGTACTAATATAGGCGTTGAGTTTTGTCTGGACGCTGCTTTTGATACGTTCTTCTTCGCGTTTTCATGCTTTCCTCGTCTTCGTGTTTCTGCGTCGCTTTTAATGTATTGGGTTGTTTCAAAAGTTCTACCCGTTTTCGAACTTTGAATTTGTTTCACCGTAACTCTTCTCAGAAATAATTTTTGCAATTGCTATAAACTGTATTACAATCTGCAAATCTTTGGCTATTTGTGCACTCTTTAAGACTACTGCAGTAACAGTGAAGAAGATTTTATAGGCTAAAATCGAGAAAAATCTCCTTGTAAAAACCTTCGCTTTGTGAAAGCATAACTTGTTTTGGAATATAGCTGAGTTGCACAAGCACTGCTCACATTGTAGCCCATAGTCGACTGAGCAGTACCGCTAACTTTGGGTTTCATCAAACCCTTTCATAAAAATTTTGTGCTGAAAAATCCGAAAGGACCCACATATTTTGCTCTTTCTGAGGCGGCAAAATATGCAATTATTTAACATTTTCGATTTTGTTCGCCGTTGACAAACCAGGAAATCTTTTCGTTCTTCTAGTAGAAGTTGTTCTAGCTCTAGTCTTACTATATAGAGTAAAAGTTCCGCGATTGCAATATATTTAGGATTTTTATGCGACTTGGAGGGACCATAAAGACAGGTTATGTTTGAGCTAAAAATTTGTAGGTTCAAAATTTTTCTGAAATCATATCTCCATGAGCGTTTCGTAGCACAAGTCTCCAGCAAACATTATGTATGTTTTAAAAGAAATTTTTTCTTTTGGCTGCAGATTTCACGGCGATAGAGCAAAGACGAAAATTTCCACATTTGTTTCGCTGTCTTTTCAAAGTACGCAACCACACAGCGAACAAAGAACTATGAAAACGAAAATATGCCTGAAAAACTAAAAGAGAAGAGCTTTTGAACGATATAAGCATTGTTTATGAAAAATGGTTTCTTCCTCCAAAATCGGCAGTTCAGAAAAAGGTATTGAAAACGGGTAGAACTTTTGAAACAACCCAATAGATGTCTAATCTTTGTCTGTCTAATCTAATCTGTCTGCACGAGCATCTTGCACCTATGCTCTTTTGCTCTGCTGCTCCAAATAGGGCAAAAGTCTCTCGCTTTTCTGCTAGTGTGCCCTCTAACAATTGCTTCGGGGAGCTTTTGCTCTTAGGTTTTTTTGCTGAATCGTCCGGGAATTACGCACGCAGTCCGGATAGCCATTATTTTGCTTAGATTCTGATAATGTTTAGTGCCAATGCGAGAACGTGACTCGTGACGCCGGCGCGGGAAAGCATGGCACGATATGGACATTAGTGTTACGGATATTCACATGAGTTTCTTGATCTCGTATGCAAATACCATCGACTTCGTCGTTAGATGGTTATCACTGTTCGAGCTGAAAGGACAGTGTTAGAGGTGTGGGTGGAAGCCGAAGATTACGGAAGTACTGCATGCGCTAGCAGAGTTTCCGTGATTGTGGCGTCTCGAAAAGAAAGCTAGGACTATTCTGGAAGTTTGTTCAGCTAAGCTATGCTACGATGGATGTCTGAGGAAGTGGAAGTTGCGCGTAAGTTTGCGGCTTTTATTAAGAGCGTCCCAAAAAATGTATCAAACGTTGCAGTAACTTTGATCTAGCAAATACGATTATTTTTTTGAGCTCACACGAGGAGTTAGCAATGCCAGTCAACCTGATAACGAATTAGCTCGTTGAGACAATTTTTTGGGGCGATATATGCTCAAATTGGCCTGGAACCCTATCAGAAGCGCTTACGGTAATCTACAGTAATGAAGAGGAACAGATGAATTGTTTCTTTGCAAATCTAAAAAGCCGGCCTTACTATATAGTAGTCAAAGATTCCCTCGTGTTTCAAGGCAAGAAAGCTATAAGCGATCAAATTCAGTACATTTTTCGGGACACCCTGTAAAACTCGTTCGATTGAAGGAGTGTTAAGCAAATCTAAATAAATGGACTCTCTCTTATGTAGGTTTCTAGCCATTGCTTGAGCGTAATATGATTCACACGTGGGCGATAGATTCAATTTTAATCTATCTAGGTCACACGCCTCCTCCAAGAGGACCAATTAGCTTTTTCGAATACGGTAAAGAGTACGGCGTGGGCGAAAGTCTAGAGCTAAATTTCTCGGCCACGAACGGCTTATATGAGCTGCCGCTTGGAAGTGCTGACTTAAGCGCTCAAACAGATTGGAGAAAGAGAGTTCAGGTACCCAGATTTGCCAAGACACTGATTTTGAAGCTGTGGAGGCTAAAACTTCGAGAATAGCCCAAAGAAAGTTGAACACATTCAATAGAACAGAGCAACTGTTAACATCCTATGCCCGAAATTACTCGATTAGCATTCCAGAACAGTTAGGCAAACGTCTCTGCCTACCTCTGTTCATTCAGCAGTCGCAGTTGTACTTGAGATCCATGCTGAGGGATGGTTGGTGGGTCAGCCGTCAGTCGCGACGAAACTATAAACACTTAATTGAGAAAGGCCTATCTCTACAACGATGAACTCATTGTTAGGGTAAGAAGTCTGCCACTCCGAAATAAAAAAAGCGCGCTCTAATGCAAAGACAGGGGGTGATTCTGTAGGAAAGGCGATACTACCCAAACAGTGCACTGGGAGGGGCAGCATGCTGGAAAGGGACGGAGCCGCCCCTTTCAGCATCCTGCCAAAATCCTCCATGCAGAGGTGCCACACACACGCACACGCAAACTCGTGGAGTGCCCCTATTTCGAGCGCTGTTTTTAGTAGGACAAAATGCTAGGAATCACACCAGATCTAAGAGGCAATACCGTCATTATTCTGGTTAAACAACGCGTCAAACCCTGAGTAATCTGAAAGGAAATCCGTAAGACAACATTAGGATTCCGCCTAGGGGTTTGGACGAGTTTACTCACCGCGAGCTGCCGTGCTGTGCTTCGTACTGCGTCGGAACAGAGCCACTGAAATAGAGCAGTTGTATAGAGAAACAGATAAAAATGAGAGGTTTGTTTAGTTCTACGACTGAGTTCAGAGTTGCCTGTGCCAGCGCGTTCTAGTGCCGTTGCAGCTTCTACGTGAGCACGCTATTGATCGGCCGACGCTCAGGCACGGCGCTAGCACGGAGCTGGCACTCGAACCCGAACTCTGGACACAACCAGGGGCATTTTTGTATTGGTGGAAATATTGTAATAAAATAATGAAGCTGTATTATATAAAGCACAAAATTAGCAATCAGTAATCGATAAACGAAAGACATCCAAAACATCAAAGTTTCTATGGATTTTCTCGTCTTTCTGCCAAATGTTTTTTTCCAGTCTCAGGCTGTTGCTGAGTTATCTGGCCGGAGCCGTGCTAGAGCTGTGCCGGCCCGTCCAGGCTCTCTCTGCAACACGCGGACGCGCCGCGCACTGGTCGATCGACGTTAGCACAGCGCTGGAACGATGCTGGCATGATACACGATAACTCCTGGATGCCGCTTCGCAGCACAGAATGAAATCTTCCAATTTAGTAAACGATTATTTATAAAGCTTTAGAGATTGTACAATCTGGGTAAAAATGGATTCAAATCTCTGTCTCCTCTCCCCCTCCTTCCGTTCCTCTCTCATAAGCGCACTTTGTTCTCTCTTCCTTGATATTCCTTGAAAAGCGTAGTATAAATAAACTTACAGTTCTTGCATTTGCATTTCTTGATCAAAGTCACGTCACGGATGTCTTCATGACATTGTTTGCACCAGAAAAATGCCCTGAAAATGCACATGTAAATGTGATAGCTATTTCACGAAAGCTGTACTTGTGAGAAAACTATTATTCCTCGGTGTTGGTATGATAAAGCTTCGAAAAGAGTTCAAGTGAAATGAGTCGTAAATTATGCAAGAGTTCCAAGCTTTCTCTATAAAGGTTTCTTGTTTGTAATTTTCTGCTGTGCAAAAGTGCTATTCTTTTCACAGTGAGAAGAAACTACCTAAATCGCCGTAACTAACCGTTTTACTTCGTCGGCACTTTGAGCAATGAAGAATCCCTGTGTCTGGGGTTGTATCACACAAGATGGACCAGGATTGATGGCAATGTTGCACTCGCGATTCTCTTCGTCCTTCAACTCGATGGCCAGCAGCAGAAGTCCTAGCCGAGTGAAGAGAAGACTGCAAAATCTCTGTTAAGAGCGCCAAAACCTAATAAGTATTCACGGCAATAGTTTAGAAGGAAATTAGCGATATTAGTTGCTGGTTTTATAGCTTTGGTTAGTCTTGGCACGCATTCTGGCTTACTCTGCCGCTTCGGGAAATGTCATTCCGACGAATGAGTGCGATAGTGTGTCGGTGTACATTTCCATACCTGCCCCGCATAGATACAGATTCAGCCAATCGGGAGTATCTCGTGACTAAACTGATGCTCTTTCTTTTCTTTAACTCTGGAGCTACTAGCTTATGCTCAACACTAGAAACGAAGAGAAATCAGGTAAGGCGAAGATCTTCTTGTAAAGGTACCACCTCAAATATAAGACACGCAAATCGCATTCATTAGCAAAGGTGGGATAACTTTTTGCTATTACAACAGATAAATATCCAAGTAGCGTGACGTACCCTTCACTCCCCTCACGATGTTCACTGGCTCATCTGAACGCTATCAAAGTCAAAACGGTCATCACTTTAGCATTATATTGGTAAATTTCTATGCATTTAATGCCGACTTCTGTGCACCACATACCTTTCAGTAGCCAAGCAGAGCCCATAGAAAAGCACGGGTTCGCAATTGAAGTTCAAAATACCTATTCACAAATGTCACATTTCTTCACATTCACTGATAGTTCAAAAAACCGAGAAACCCTTTATGCTATCCAGAACATTCTCCTCTACTCAGGATCACTTGAATTAAGCAGAAACAAGTAAAACCTAAAACACTGTGGTTTCACGGGACATTTTCTTCTGCCCTTCATTCATTTTTTAAGCACTCTTTCGGTGTTCTTAGTGTTATCCGCTAAGGCCCCGGTCAGACTTCACGCGACTTAATTGTCGCGATCTAATCGCCAAGATTTCCATTCATTTTCATTTCACATTCAAAAATTTCGGGCTGGAGAAGTATCACAACCGAATGAAAGTTGATCAGCATGGAATGATGTTGTAACAGTTGTCTCCTCGCGATTCAGTCGCGACGATCAAATCGCGTGAAGTCTGCCCGGGGCCTAAGGCGCTTTACACTTCTTATTCTGGTACGACAGTTTCTGCACTGTCACTCGTTGGCACATTCATAGTGTAAAGAAGTCAAGCACTCTGTTACTGGCAATGAAACCAGGACTTACTCAGCTGCTTCAGGAAAAGACATCCCTACAAAAGCTTGAGACAGCTTCTCGGTATACATCTCCATGCCGGCACCGCGAAGATAGTCGTTCAGCCAAGCCGGAGTATGTGGAGACTGCAAGTGTTAGTGAGTTAGTTGCTTCACAGCATTGTAAAAACAAAACACTCTGAGGTCAACATAAGGAGAATTATTTTCAAGCCCGGTTAGTTGGGTCTAAGTTGGTATTAATTTGTCACATAAGTCTCTCGCACAAATTTCTTTTAACAATAACTCCATAAACTCCTTAGTTTCAGTGTTATTTGGCTCAAGAAGTATTGAATAGAGTTTTACAGCTTCGAAGAGGAGCCTAATGTTGATTTTTGGTCGTCAGAAATATCATTGGGGCCAGTAATTTGGTTCTACGTGTAACATATTTCTTGGCTTCGGATTACTTTATTCGACTTTTGGATTTCCTTGCAATAAAATCTCTATCACCTCTATTAACACGTTGAGGACCGAGCCATTTTGGACCACATGGAAATTGATTGGATACTTAAATCAGACTGCATTTCATATGGCAATCGAACCGCCAGTATTATTACTGCATAGAAGATATCTTGGAATTGTTCGTTTACACAAGAAAAACGGATGCACGAAAGTGCCAAACGGGAGTTAGGGCATGCATACGTGCGTATGCACCCAGTCGTCAACGTGCTTAATACAAAATTCGTTGAAATCTGTATATGATAAAACTGAATGTCTGTTTGTCTGTCTGCCTGTAAGTATATTCCGAGTAGAAATTTTTTATTCCTAAGCAAAGCCGGACCAATTGCGCACATACGCTTCGGGGTGGGTGGGTGTTGTAGACTACTTTTTTATTGATCAATATCTATTTTATCCATTTTCTGCAAAATTTGACCTGTTGAGAGTTGGCACAGGGAATAAATGGCATGCTGATTACGAAAATATTATCGACAGGACCTGGCGGACCTGGGTTTGCCAGCTAATAATCAAAATAAGCTCTTGAGAATTTTTAAGGGCTTTTGGTGGGAGACTTATGGGCCAACCTAATACAATGCAAATGTGTTCGCACTAAATCAACTAGTGTACAAATGAATTAAGGTTTGCTATTGGCAAAAATGATAGCTGAAACATTAGACATGCAGAAAAATCTTTCGTAATAAAAATTTAATCAACGTTTGTGTTAGACAACATCACACTTTCCACGTTGAAAGATGGCTTGAACTTCTTTTTTAATTATGCCTAACAAATAATTTAAAAGGATAAATACAAAGGATTCGGCGTCCTCAGTACCCCCTGCAGACATGCGCCCAGCGCACACTACTTCATAGTCAAAGAGGCAATTCTAGCGTGCGAGCCTATCTCAGACTAACTGATTATTTACTAGTATGTGGTTTTCTAATCTTTTTTCCTTGAGGTTCGAGAGATTAAAAATTACGAATGGTTGAATAAAACTAGTGTCCCCGGTAGATTTATTTCGCGCATCATTTATCCTCTTATTCTTCTTTCTAACCAATTCTTCCTTCCCTCCCTCTAATCCATGCTCGAACTTGCAGAACGAGACTTTCTGAAGCCTCGCTAATTAGGAATAATGGGTGGCGCGTCGAAGAAAAACAGGAATAGTGTCGACGAAGAGAGCAATTGATGCTCGAAAACAGAGGAATATTAGAAGAGCTCACGGTTTTGAAAGACCTCATTGCGAACAGATTGGCCATCATCGTTGAAAATCCCGGAGCAAGGCAGGATTGAGCAATAAATCCTAATTTGAGTTCGGCAAGACAAATGACATCATCACCTCGTCGCCAATCCCAAGATGGAATATTCAGTAGGTACGCCTGAAAGCTCAAACAAAATGCACAAGTTTGCGTGAAGATCTGATTATAGAACATCGCCTTGTGCGGTCTATTCAAGCAGGAACGAAACTCTTCGAAACCTGCAAGAGATTTGAAGGCAGTGCCCACGCAAATCGCGACCTCAACTTTTGTGCTCGAACTGGTTGAGAGGCTTTAACTAAGCCAGTGCCCCAGCAACAGCTCATATAAAGCCGAGAAATCACCTTCAAACTCGTGCCCCATACCGTACTCTTTTTGAGCGGACCAATCAGATCTGGGCGAGACTATGAAGCTGATTTTTCTGAACTTGAACGAATCATGTGCTGCTTTTGGGCAGCGGTTTGGGCAAAGTCGAAGAGAATTTCTTTAAGAAGGTACCCAGATTGTTTTTGAATTGACGGTAAAATAAATGCACAAATAACTTTCTTACCTTGTTATGGTACTGCATTAGCTGGACTATCACTCGAATATCACTCGAGTAGTTTTTGATCGAAATCACTCGCATGATATTTGCCGCATCTTCAGCATCCGGATTTGTACTGTACTTATTTGCTAGTACCAAGCAGGCATCGGCATCTGACACCTGAACTCAACTGTTTTTAGAGAAAATTGAACTGAGAGGCAGGACCAGACGTACTTTGACTCGAGATAGATCTAGCGAGTCCATCACGGTGCCAGTGAAGAATTCCACTTTCGTAAAGTGCCGTTTGAAAAGACCTTCCAGCTCCAAATCTGGCACTACCCTAAAGATTGAAATTGTGTTCATCAGAAATTCATATTTCGAATAAATTTTCGCATAAAAAATTTGAAGCCTTGAAGTCTATGAGAGAATGACAGTGTTTGTGAAATCATTTATAGACTTCTTTTCTTTTATGCAGAACATTCGTTCTGAGGGACTACTGAGCTTATCTTTCTCTACATTTCTTCCTCACTGGCTAAAAAAAATATTGAATCATTGAGTGTATGAGAGATAGAATATAAAAAAAATATTGAATCATTGAGTGTATGAGAGATAGAATATGAATAGAAGTGATTACCGCCAATCCAAAGAATATGTTACATTTAAAAATAAATATTTGATTTCTAGTTTATCTGGCTTCACTATCTAGATCTGGATCTTCCGACTCTCCACCTGCTGTAACTTATGATGATAAAAACCTGGATGCTCCGCTATTGCCCAAGTATTCGCCCCATAGTGTCTCAACTCCCACGTCTTCCACTTTCTTCCTCACAAACATTTTTATTGCCAATTTGCCATTCGCGGCGATAAACTTCTTTGGAAGGCTGCATGTAATTCAAAAGCAATGCCATCCTTGGTCCATGTTTGAAGTGCGTCACCGCACGTGAATGCGATTATGTTAAGGAGTTTTAAAGTGTGCAAAGACCATGTATGGAGCAATTCGTTTTTTCCTCAATCAAACAGAAAGAAGCTTGATCAAAAATTATTGAGAAAAGCAAGCACTTGATGTTGTGCTTTGATTCCAAGTAGTTTTTGGAATGAGTCGTAGCAATAGTAATTTGGGTAGTTAAGATCCCGAACTTATCTTTTGACACAAAAGCTTTTTTAAGTTATAGTTGTAGTAGTGATTAAACGCTATCAGATGGAAAGCAAAATGCTGGAAAGTTTGCCTCTTTCGTGAAATGGCGAAGTACTGCTCGAACGATCACTATACAATCAGCGCGAAAGTGAAGTAGAGCGAATCAATGGCTTCTCTATTTTTTTAATCGATCCTTAATTTCTGTGACAAGGATACTATGTATATGTACATACTTTGATTGTACTTCGAAAAACTAGAGAATTCAGCCTGTGTTGTGTAAAGTTCGATTTTCTTTCTTAAAGTGCAAGCTGTTACCGGTGCTTTCCAAATGCACCGGTAACAGCTTGCACAGGTGCACAAATTCAGAGCTAATAGCAGATACTGTTTTATTCTCCTTCTCCTCTGTTCATTTTTGAATGGACTTCTAAGACAAGCGAATCCGCTTTGCTCCACATTTTCTGCTATTTTTCGATTAATGCGGTATGCAGCAACTCAATTGCTTTTTTAATGGGCTATTCAGGTCATAATATATCCATCACACAGTCTCCTTTCCCACAACAAAACAATTCAATTCTCCTAATGGAAACGTAAATGCTGCTAAATACAATAATAGTTGAGATGAAACGTGAAATAGGAATATGAATTTGCAATTTTCTTGCATACCGCATACTTTGTACTAGTTGGCACTTGATAGAAAACGACATAATTTGCCTTTGTTTCTCCATCGAACTTACTTCAAAATTCTCGAATTAAATCGCAATTAAGAGATTATCAAGAGCTAGACCGTAATATTTTGTAGAAAGAGTGCTTGACGTGTTACGTCTGAAGGAGTTTTTGAGTTTTTGCTTCAAATGCTTTACCCTTCAACAGGATTACAACTTCAATTTTAACCTTATATTAGGTTGATGCATAATTCCTGCACCAAAATAGGTACAGACCGCAATAACTCGAAGTAATCCTATATCCCAAGTAGGATTCGATATATCATTTGATAGCGCAAACCTAGCTGTACAAGAGGGTGCTCAAATATCTACACCAGCTTTAATCCACGCGAAGTTTTGAGCCAAAAACTGAAAAAAACCATGCGTCCGAAAACCTTAAGACAGATATTTAAAAAATTGTAACTTCGTTCAAAAAGCTCATACAAATTTCCTTTCTTGCTCACGCGTAGACGTTCCATGTAAGACATTTATCTATACGGTTGCTGTATTTTTTTCTCAACTAGCCGATGAGAAAACGAAGTTTTTCATGTTTTTTCCAAAACAATGCTGAGATGTTCTAGCACTGACAGTTGTATACTATAGGACCTTAGAAGCGTGAATGTGAATTTTCAGCTCTTTAGAGCAGCTGGTTTACGAGAAGTATCGGATTTTTAGCAACTAGGCAAGAAAAATTTGGATAAGGAGAGCTAGATTCGTTATTTCTCGCGAACTAGCAATTCTAGAAGGCTGAAAATGTAAAGTTTCACTGCTAACGGCATGTACTATACAACTGTTGATACTAGAACATCTCAGCACTAATTTGGCAAAAACATGAAAAACTTCAAAAAACTTCGTTTTTTCATCACCTAGTTGAGAAAAAAATACAGCAACCGCATAGATAAATGTCTTACGTGGAACGTCTACGCGTGAGCAAGAAAAAAAATTTGTATGAGCTTTTTGAACGAAGTTACAATTTTTTTAAGATTTGTCTTAAGGTTTTCGGACGCATGGTTTTTTTCAGTTTTTGGCTCAAAACTTCGCGTGGATCAAAGCTGGTGTAGATATTTGAGCACTATCTTGTAGAACTAGGTTTGCGCTATCAAATGATATATCGAATCCTACTTGGGATATAGGATTATTCCGAGTTATTGCGGTCTGTACCTATTTTGGTGCAGGAATTATGCATCAACCTAATAAATTTATTTTGACTAACGTCTCTATTATAAGTTCTGATACAGTACTCAGTTCGAATCTGTTTTCATCAAATACAAAATTTCTTTTGGAATTCACCGCTCACCTATGCAGGAAGACCACCTCGACATCAACATCGTCTCGATCTTCATGCAAAAAATCTTGTAAAAAATGGCTAACTGAGTCGTAAGTGATATGACCGCATACGACGATATGTCTGAAAATATCGTCAATACGAATAAAAATTTCGAAATGCAGTATTTCTCGTACTTTTTCCCGTGTTCTCCTTTATACTCTCCGCCATATTTCTGTCGGTTTCCTATAAGATCGGCAATTTCCGGTACATAACTGGCGAACATCGCCTATAATCGCGAGGTAACCACTAGTTCTTTTCCAGTTCACTGTTGATTTTGTTAACTCACAAGGCCACCAAGGATGAAGAAAACCATAAAAATGCGACCGCACAACGTCGTACAATAGATATCTCCGTACCCTAAAAAAATAAAATCAACTCGGGGAGGGGGGAACTCATCGTGAAAAGAAATGATATAAGCATCGATTACCTACGGTCGACATCGTTACGAGCAAGAAATACACACAATCAGCATAGGTTATCCTATGAGGGTTGATAAAACCCCTGAAGAAATCGCCCGAGTTTTCAAACTGAAAATAGAAACTTCGAAAAACTGTAGGCCAATTTTTAATATTCATAAATGTTCAACATTCTAGAATCGGGAAATGGTGATATAATAGTGAAAATTTTTTTACATAACATTGATTTTGATGGAGCAATTCAAAATAGGCCACCGCAATAGGAACGGCAAAGAGTTTGAATGTGTCTCATTTCTTTTCTTTCTAGGGTATGGAATTACAAGAATGCATAATTACAAAATATCACAAAGTCCTGAGTGCTTTGTTGTCCACAAAAATAGAAATTTAGTGCTCTAAATCTTTCTGCGCCTTGTTTTGAGATTTTTTTCTTCAACAAAGTGTAGTTTGACTGGGTAAAATAAAATTAACAAGATGGAGAAAGACATAAGTCATGATTTAAACTGATCATTATTAATGGCACCTTTTAATACCAATCGTTGATAAATAGAAAAATGGTAATCGTGAAAATTTCGGGCTACCACTCCGGAAAATTTGCTCAACTTAATAATGTCAGTAAAATGTGACTTACCAGATGCACTCCACCCGCTCCCGTAAGACAAACAGACACAAAAATGGTGACGAGTTGAGTGAGTCGGATTGATGATGATGTCTTTAGTATGTTGAGGTACTGTAGAATATCAGGTACCGTCATCAGACGTAAGGCGCGAAGAAATCGAAACCCTTGAAAAATTTGGAATTTTTTGAATAATCTTCAGCATAAGGACTTACCTAACCAATTCCTTCCCAGGTATATGGCAACAAAACTTGGCGGTATTGTACAGTAATCAATGAAAGAGTAAAGTTCCAACAAGAACCACACTTTGTCAGAGGCGGCAATGAACTTAAAATAAATGACAAATAAGAATACTTTATCATTCAAAAAAACAAACTCTGATGAAGAAATAAACAAGGAAGAATATGTTGAACCCGAGGTCGATCTGTTGTGATGGGCTTTCCTTCCATGGTATGCAAGTCTCCACTTGGAAGTTTTGGCTGAAATGTGGCTTTCGAGAACGCTTTCAACATTCCATATGAATGAATCAAAGTTCTAAGAACCAGTTATCAAAATCTTTCTCGTCATGTTTTTTCTGGTCCCTTTATTTTCACATTACGCAATGATATTTCTCATTCACTAAGGGTTACGCAAAGTATGCACAGTACTCTGTTTAAAATAAAGTTCATGATGTTCGCGGAATTCAAATCTAGTTTCGCACTTCAATCTTTACAGTTTCTTCATTATCACCATTTCCACCTCGGATATGACTCTCTTCACCTCTTCAATTTTCAAACTTCCCTAGTTTCAGCTCCAGCTGCGTTGCAGCATATGTGGAAGTGTCTTTCGTCCATTCCCACACTTCTGAATGTCTCAAAATGTCCTCAGAGTTTCCTTGCACTTTAGCGGAAATCTAAAGGGCCGGGCATACTTCACGCGATTTCAGTCGCGGCGCGATTTGGCAATTCGCCAGAAGTCTACAGATACAACACTAGCAAACTGCGCATGCATGATGTGTATAGCTTACGTGGACTGATAAAATGTCCTATCTCCTGTACATTTAGAATGTGCTTACAGTGAGTTTTATGCACAGTTGGAATATTGCCAAATCGCGTCGCGACTGAAATCGCGTGAAGCACGCCTGGCCCTTAAGACAGAGTTGCTCAAGAGTCCTCATTCTTCATAATTTCACTAAATTTACGGCTAAATTAGGCCAAAGTATTTTTGGTGGAACTGGAAGCTTTTTTCATTGCTGGAGCTACCTAATCTGGAACAATACCATAACGGTGAATTAGAAACTGAAATACAAAGTGCGTTGAGTTTTTGTGAGTTCTGGTATCATTGTGAGGCCCCGGACAGACTTCACGCGATTTGATCGTCGCGACCCAATCGCCGACATTTCCATTCATTTTCATTTCACATTCAAAAATTTCGGGCTGGAAAAGTATCACAACCGAAATGCAAGTTGATCGGCATGGAATGATGTTGTAACAGTTGTCTCGTCGCGATTCAGTCGCGACGATCAAATCGCGTGAAGTCTGTCAGGGGCCTGAGTTAGGAGGCACAATTATTCCTTCTGTATTAGGCTGCAAGCAAGCCGGGGAACAAAATATACGAAAAATATGTTCAATGTCCAAAGACTTTGTAGTGCAGTATAAAATGCTTTGATTTCTTCACATATTGAAATACTCAGCGAGAACAATTTTAACTGTTGATTGGATAAACGCGGCTGCGAACCAGCTCAAATTTTCCTTGATGTGAGAAGTAGGTACATAGAACAATTGTCAAATGGAACTTCTTCTACTGTAAATTTTGGCATCTACTCAACCAGAACTGGATTGGCTTGGTTGGCGTTGAAAACATACTTTCTTCCCTTTTTTTTATACATGTATTGCATTGACCAACACGTTAACGCCATAAAAAAATTCCCAAAATTGATGGTAGACTTATGGGCCAACCTATTATTGTGTATGCCATCACACAACGTCCCGGAACTCTAAAATAGTCCCTCGGACAACTTCAGTGCAATGTAATTGGGATCGGTTGCATTAACAAGCAAGCCATTAGGCCCGCGGCGTCCTAACTCAACTCCTCGGTTCTTTCTTTGAAAACCTGCATTAGCGGAATTCGCTCTAGCCTATGCAGTTCTGGTAATTTCGCGAAGCAGTTTGACGGAAGAAGGAAAACGCTTTGAAAACGGAAGAAAACTTTTGCAAAGAAAAAGAAAACGAAAAAGAAAAAATGGTTTTCTTACAAGTAATTTTTGTCGAAAGGTTCGATGTTTAAAGAGCAAAAATTTAGCAACAAAAACGCTCATTGACTAAAAAAGAATTTCCCCTTCTCACGCTTGTTTTGCCTGTTTATGAAAGCTGACTCTTGGAGAAGAGCTTGGACAGCAATCTCCTGACTAAGTGATTGAATGTCAAGCACAGGTGTTTGTCCTAAGAAAACTTTTGAGACTGAGACGGACACTAGTTTGGCACACGATGTGAAGAGTTTTCGTAAATCGAAAACAAGTTATGAACTTCAGGATTATGGACATGCGATTCCATGATTTTTATTATGCTTTATGCAGCGGAGGTCATAAAAAATTGAAGTACAAATGTCTGCGCAAATGACTGATATAAAAATTCTACACTATCATTTCGCACTTTTTTCTGTTCAGTAGAAATTGTAATTAGCACAATCATTTTTGATTCAATCTTGCTCAAATTCACGAGAATGCATTTCTCTGCATTCTGTGACGATTGATAAAGTTCAACTTTCATTAAAAAAAATTCGGCCAGAACAGAAACCACCCATTTTTAGAGGGTCCGATTCGATGTGCAAGAAACAATAATTTAATTGAGCTCTGTCCAGAAATCAACGTCGGTAAGCAACAACGAAGCAAAAATCATACTCTTACTTTGCTTGTTCTCTGCGTTTCCTTGCTTGCATGTTTTGGTAAACTAAATAGCCTGTAGTTTCTTCAATAACACATGATAAAAATGTAAAAAAAAACACGCTAATGCATTACTTGTCAGAGCTTTGCCATAACCTCGTTCTTTCTTAGATATTTCAGTATCTAAGCGTTCTTACACGACCACTTCTTTTGACTAATTTCTACAATCCTGAAGCTGTTACATTGACAACTAGCTCACTTCTGAATTACTTTTAGATATTATTGCTAAGAATAGGAAAGTTCCACATAGCTCAATGTCATTTCATACTAACTCTCAGTCACTGAGTAAGAGAACCATAAATGCAAAAAAAAAGTCCTGTGCGCAATTCAGAAGAGTTTGCGGGAAGTTTCAACTACCGGAATGCTGAAAAAAAAAAGAAATGATTGACAGAGGCATGACCCTTACTTCTTATTTTTCGCCAATTCACCATATTTCATTGTTAATCAGAACATGCGCACTGAGCAGAACATGAATGGGGCACAAATCCAGACATAATAATGCGATTTTTCCTGTTTAGGTGGATTGATACACATCCAGTTGGAACACATCTACTGCAGAATAAAATTTGCACAATTTTAATACTACTTTCTTGAAGTATCTACGATCATTTTAATCTGGACGACAATAAAGATTTTTCTTATTATTATTAACAAATCACAATCCAGCTTTGATTTATATTGCTATGGATAACAAAATCCCGCAAGAATGGTATTGCTTGTTTTTTGCGGATAATTAGATGCACGTAAACTTTACAGCCTTTATCATTTTAGCATTTCAACTTTATAGTCCCGAAAGAAACAACATTCAAAAGATCTTCTTTTCCTAGGAACAGGCTTAACCATGATTTATGACAACATCATAAGCTGCCATAAATTTTTGCATGCATGTTTTCCCCCAGCAGAACATCCACTCATTTTTCTAACACTACGCCCTGCTTTTTTCGGGTTCAAAACGTGCGCCACGGAACGAAGCAAAGTGAGTCGCTCGATCACTCGAACTACGCTGAAGCATCGTTCATAAATCTGGCGCGTCGGTGAATGAATGCAGCTTGCTGTGCATTTGCACAAAAAAAGCGGAAACAGCCGAGTGGTTCCGCCCGGCAAATACACCACAATTACATGCTAGATGCGGTTCACTTCGTTTATTTAGATGAATGGCATATGTGGGAAAATATGAGTGTTTGGAAGGTTTGACAAAAACGTAGCGTGGGTAACGACACTTGACAGGAGAAAGACAGCCGGTATAAGAAGTCTGCACAGTGGGTGATTTCTGGACTTAAATAAACAAAGATGATTAGATAATGAAGATCCATTCAACTACGTATTTTAAATGTGTATGAATCAATTTTTGACGACAAAATAATTCCGTTCCTTCATGCAAGTCTCCATAAAAGCTTTTCTTGTTGTTTAACCATGTGATTTTGAATGGAAGTACTTCAAAGCTTCTGATATCATATTTCAACCTTTTACAATTGTCTACTATCAAGGATTATGTAAAAGGATTATGCCCCAATAAGGCTGAATTTTCAAAAAACAGCCCTTTGACTTTCTTTCTAAGCTTTGATTTCATGCTGTGGTGGATTTAGAGATGAGTAATATGGTACATGGGTAAACACAAGTTTTCTATGACCTGCATGATGCTGTAATCTGCTATTTTTTGATTCCAGGTTGAAAAAACAAAATTTTCTCATATTTGGGAGAGATATTTGGGAGAGATAGAGCTGTCTCACTTCTTTATGCCCTTTCTATAAAAAATGATTTCGCTCAAACAGATTTCACATTCCAGTTCTCATCGAAGTTCTTTTCAGGAATAACAAATACTGGACAAAAAATTTTCTGCATTTGTAAGAACCGCAAAAGCGACCGAAATAATTCGTTAGCCAACTCAATAAATGCAGGGTTCCGAAAGCGTGGATCATATTGTTGCCTACAGAACAGCTACCACTTACGAAAGGCAAGAACCAGATGTTATTCCTGGATCTAACGCGAGAACCTTGGGATGACTTTATCCCATAGGTAGTCGTCAATTTTACACGTACAGGCTCATGACACACCTTGTGTATCATATAGTCCCCCACCATAGTCATTGCATGATTTACCATGTGCATCACGCTTTCGTCAATGTATTTAGGAAACTACATAAGAAACAAGGGAAATTCTGAGAGACATTATGTCAACCTTCTGCCCCAATAACCCGGAATTATCGCAACCCTAGATATGCCAGGAATCGAAAATATGATTTCCACAATAAGCACCACTGACTCGGATAATAAGCTAACCTTATGGATAGATAAACAATAAACAGGTGAATATCGCAAACTCAAACAAAAGAAGCAAGAAAATAGATTGAAGTGACTTACAAACTAGCATCGTAGAAGTAGATGCCAAGTGAACCCAATGAAAGGACGAACACAAGAACGACAAGAAATCGACCGGTAAGACTTTGACCAGATATCAGTTCGCCAGCCCAATCTTTCGCCTGAAAAAAATTTTCTTCTTCATTTTTAAATTCTGTCACTGTTCCTCAAAATTTCAGATTTTGAAGACATATCCAGCGGTGTCATCTGAATGACAAGCAATCACTCATTTGTCGTTTGAAATTACAACGATAGCAACGGGTTAATAGTCTCAGTGCAAGATAAATGTCATTAGTTAAGAAGATGGATCTTTTGGTTTTAAAAACCAGAATTGAAATGTAGAAGGCGGAAATAAAAACTAGACTGAATGGATGTGCAGTATATAGAAGGTGTAGGAGATGTAGAACCGGATTTTGCAATCTAGAAGGCTTGGAAAAAGTGTGGATATGTTATCTTTGATTTTGAAGAGGAAGGAAAGTTCTTGAAAGAAAAAGTATTTTCCCAGAGAGCTTATGTAGGTCTGGATGGTTGTGCAAATGACATTAGAAACTATCAATAGAATGATTATGCTTTTGGACTTATTTGGTATACCTGCTCAATAATCAGTGAATAATTCTTCTATATAGCCCGAAAAGATCCTATTACACATACTACAATACCGCTCTCAAAACTTGCAAAATTCCCGTGAATGTTGCGGAATTTCGGCAATTTTGCGAAGGACCGCGAAACTCTCGGAATTCGCGAAAACTTTGGAATATCGCCATAAAATCCTTTGTGAGTTCTGATTTTGAATAAGGATTATACTCACAAGGGAATGGTCAGAAGTCGAAGTGGCCAATTCATACAAGCTGCATGCCATTAGATGCAGCATAAAACGCTGACTCTAAATCTGTCTTCCTTATCTGCAGAGCGCTTTTATGGACGAAATTATAAGCCGTTGAAGGCCATTATTTTGCTAAGAAATTGGGCATGTAAAGTGCAAACTTGGCCGTACAAAGCCATTCTTAGCTCACTGTCGGACCAAAACTTGCAACTAGGTCACATCATATGACCCGTACCTAGAGTTGAGCTGAAAGGGCAATAATGCGCCTAATTTTGCAATTTTTGTATACAGTTTTTTCGCAGTAAAGCTGCTCATAACTTCGCCTACAAAGGCGTTCTGCAGATATGGAAGACAGATTTGAAATCAGCATTTTATGCTGCATCAAATGGTATGCAGCTTGTTTGGTTTGGCCACTTCGACTCCTGACCATTCCCTTGTCAGCTCATCGAGGAAATTCCGGCCATGATTGATTCCGAAATTTCCCGGAATCCCGGAATGTCGCGGAATTACGGAATGTCGCGAAGTTTTTGCACGTTCTGAGAGCGGTGTTGTACAGTGCTGGCCAAAACTATAGATCCACTATAAAAAACTGTCGTAGTTCGTCTGCTTCTCAACGAATTGATCTGAGATTTGGTACAGTTGTGTGTTCAACAGGCATTCATCAGTGACCGGAGCGGATTCAGCTTTCGTTAGATTATTCAGGAAAAAAATTAAAAATTTCGAAAAAAGCAGGCTCGAAAGTTGGCCAAAACTATAGATCCACCCAAAATTTCTGCCTGCTAACGTGATTCTTAGCTTCCAAAATCTTTTGTGCATATACATAGTCGAAAGTCAAAGCAGTGGCTTTAGTTCAGCTGCGTCATACCTTTATAAGAAACGCTTATCTGCTTTTTTCCTCTTAAAAACTGCTTTCATGCGTATTTTGTTCCCGAGAATGTGTTTTTGTAGAGGATTCCGCACTTTTTTGACTGGTTTGAAAGTGATAGGGCTCCATCTATCTTATAGATGCTTAGTAGCGTGGGCAGCAGAAAAAAATTCGGGTTTTCGTATCTAAAGCGCACCTGACATAGACCTAACCGCAAACCTGCGTTCAAATTTATGCCTTCAAGCTCTTTCTGCAACGTTGTCATGAGCGTGAACTGGAGTAGTTACATTGTTGGTATGTATGAGAGTCCGTATGCAGTGGTTGCAGGTTTCTGCAGATCCTAGTATGCAGGCTAATTGAGAACTTCATCCTGCAAAAAGTGATTTGCAACAAGCCTTGAAGTTATTTCTGCTTCTGACCATAATGCTCATGTGAATCACAAGGCAACATATATTGCAGGGTGTATTCAATAGTTAGCAGCTAAAAAGTGGCAAAATTCAAAGAAGGTACCAGTTGGTAAGTACTTTGAGATTGCCGAACACACCGCAAGACTTGTGCTTTGAAAAAGAATTAAAGTGCGACTTCGCAAGCAATCGTAACTATAGTTTACAAACTTCTTTTTAGGTAAATAATGCTAAATAATGCTTCTACATTATTTTGAGCTTATAAAAATAGCGGATACCAATTTTGAAGGCAAAAATTCGAGCGCAGGCCTACGGTTATGTCCGTGTCAGGTGCGCTTTGGATACGAAAAACCGAATTTTTTTCTACTGCTCACGCTGCTAAGCATCTATAAGATAGATGGAGCCCTATCACTTTCAAACCAGTCAAAAAAGTGCGGAATCCTCATAAAAACACATTCTCGGGAACAAAATACGCATGAAAGCAGTTTTTAAGAGGAAAAAAGCAGATAAGCGTTTCTTATAAAGGTATGACGCAGCTGAACTAAACCCACTGCTTTGACTTTCGACTAGGTTTATGCACAAAAGATTTTGGAAGCTAAGAATCACGTTAGCAGGCAGAAATTTTAGGTGGATCTATAGTTTTGGCCAACTTTCGAGCCTGCTTTTTTCGAAATTTTTAATTTTTTTCCTGAATAATCTGGTGAAAACGGAATCCGCTCCGGTCACTGATGAAAGCCTGTTGAACACACAACTGTACCAAATCTCAGATCAAATCGTTGAGAAGCAGATGAACTACGGCAGTTTTTTATAGTGGATCTATAGTTTTGGCCAGCACTGTATAAATTGCAGTCGGTTCCATTCGAACATCACTGACATAACTCCATTGTTTGTGATATACACTAAATCCAAGTAAAAACTTCTGAAAATGATCTAGTCTTAGATATACTTCGAGAAAAATGATAACATCCTACTGAGTGAGAATTGAAATTGCACTACAAAGTGTAATTATGAAAAAAAAATAGTGAATCGAGCCACTTTGGATTGTAAATGCAGAAAAAATCAATAAATGAGTAGAAAAAATGATTTGCAGTTTTATATGTAAAAGTGAAAGCTGTCCATAGTGACAAGATTTAATCAAAGAGCTGATACTGAAAAGTACAAAAAATTTCACTATGCTTTTTAAGCCTAAGGCGTACCTCACGCGATTGGGCCAAATCGCCACTTTCAAGCGACTTGGCAACTTGCCAGATTGCCACAAATTTATCGTGCGCTCTTCTCGAAAGCATAGACGGGTAGCTTGTGTAAGCTGTTGCAAATGGGTCAAGCTCTGACCAAAGGAAACACATTAACGCTGAGTTACAGAGAGTCGCCGTTGTGCCAAATCGCGCAGCGACCGGAATCGCGCGAGGTATGCCTTAGGCCTTATGGAAAACTCAAGCAGTGATGCAGAAACCGTTGCGAGAAAGGAAAGTAAGTGTGATAAAATGAACAAAGGATTGTATTATAGATGATATGATAACGCAGATGAAAACAAATCAAAGAAAGAAAGAAAATTGTCAAAAATATGGCAGTATGTACTCAAAATCCAATACCATTCCCAAAGAATCACGATCAGATCACAGATGTTCGTTCCAAAGCGGATATTTTCGGAAGAATTTGGATGTCGAATAGATTTTGATGGTATTATATTGAAGCATAATGGTCCGCAGGTGTGAGGTGAACAATGTGTTTACAGTATTCGTTGATATTTTTAGATTGTTTACGTACTTTTTCAAGGCATACTGCTCATTTCAAGCAAGACTGCTAATCAACATTAAACTCACTTCGGTCATCCATCCCAAATGTTTCTCCTCTTGTTTCAGCGCTAAACCTTCGAATTCGGTCTTGACAGCAGCAGCAGGGCCATGCTTGCCGTTCAACTGAAACAAAGCTTCACTTTTTGATTTCCACGGTAGAAAAAGTTCGAATTACTTGTGGGACGGTCTCGGACACTTCCACCACATCCTCTCGCTCTCGTCGTTGACAGAACAGATGAGTGACGATCCGCCAAGTGACAACCAATAGCATTGACACACAAAATGTGACGATACTAAACGAATCAATTTATCATTCATGAAATTCTCATGTAATCAGAACAATCTTTTATGCAAGTTCTGGTAAAGGCAATTTCGCTTCCGGTCCATGAAAAAATTCTTCTGTTAGCGAGCAAAAGAAAAACTATCCATCGAATTGCTCAGTTGGAAGAAAAGCGTTTTCAAGCGTATAAAAATGTTTTTGTGGAAAGAAAAAGTGCGAACCTGTGGTGCACAATATACCAATTTGCAAAGGCAAAAAACGAAGGTGCTTTTTTGGCTTTTGCTTTTGAACGCTGGCCGGAAACATTTCATGGGTCTTTTATGTCAAGTGTAAAAGTCGAATGGACATGAAACTGCACTGTTCGACCTAATTTTTATGTAAATACTTTTCTCAGTATAATTGAGGAATAAAAATACATTTTACAAATATTAATATTACACTACCCTTGTAATCATTCACCTCATTTGTTAATTCCCAACTAAGAAATTATCCTCATTTTGGGCAATGCATTTCAACACATGTGGAGACACAGTCGTACAGCACCGTGCTCGGAACGTCTCTAATTGGTCAGTTAGGGAAGAGTATGGTAGCGGGCGAGAGTTTAGAACTTCTCTGTTACGAATAATATTCGCTACCTCCCAATCATAGGGCGTTCTCGCCTGGTATCTGTGAATACTATTGGACAGTTTGGAAAAGCTCTCGCCCAATATCGTACCCGAGAGTGCTTATTGGTTAGTGCCGAAAGAGCATGGAATTGAGCGAGAGCTCAATTCAGAGGCCGCGAATTCGTGATTTTAGCTACCGCTCGGGCAATGACTGGTAAAACTCTTAACTAATTCATTCATTCACATAAGAACCTCAGGCCACATTTCTGTCTATACCCTATCCCTAAGCGCAAATTTCTCCTTTTCTTCCAACTTTAAACTTTGCCCTGAATTGCCTTTATCTAATTTTCAATGCGGAAGCTGGTAAATTCACATTATGCAGGCACGCACGAGGCGAAGCAGGTGCGGGTTTGAACTTTTTTCGCTAATGCAGTAAAGTAACGAGCACAACCCAAGAATAAAGCAATCCGAATAGAAAGTTCCCAGGATTTCACCAAAGGAATGTGTAACGCTATGATGTTTTTACGACACCTCTCGAACTGGATGGGAGCTATCTCCTTCAACTTTGAGACCCCAAGGATCGTGTCCCTGTATCGCTGCATTCTTCAAGCAAAATCTTAAAAGCATAAATTTCAAATATTACAGCATCTTCAGATTTGGTCAATTTTCCTGTCTAGACTATTTACCACTTAAAACATCATTACGTTATAAAATACTCAAAGCAGTTCTCCCGAGAAAACAAATGCAACATTTAAGTGCTCATGAATCAACCGAATGAGTCAAATAAATCTTGCAAAATCTTCTGTTTTGCATCTCAAAGCTAGTTTGAAAGTGTAAAATTATCACATACTATTCAACTGTTAACTAAATCTTGCAACTTCCTCAATAACTTTTCTCTTTTCAATATGCTGCCCTTGAATTTCGGCTTTATGTAGACTGCATTGTGTGCTACAAGTGAGCACAAATTGTTTGATTTTTCATAACGAAATAGAAGAAAAACTTGAGCATTCTTACAAAACTACTGAAAATTGTAAACCAATTACGAGCAAAGATGAAGCTGTCCACATCCTAAACTAAACATATCGAACCGGAACTATTACAGAATTAGTCAAGAATTAGCTCTTCAAGTACTGTAATATAGTAACGGTAGTCAGAGACTGTTCATGATTTGGCGTCCTCGGAAAGTTGACCAACCAGCTAAATGCAAAATTGAAGCTGAAATTCTGTCAATAACAAATGCAGGAAATCTCAAAATTTGTCGATACTTTGCATTTTAGGGTAATTCTAAATGCTGAACACGACTATCATACTCATTTGTTGTCAGACTAAAACTTTTCTTGTGACCTTGCTAAAAATGCAATCTTGCAAAATGTGCAAGGTTTTCGTAATCAGCATGTCGAAGAACCTCCCTAGACCAGGTTTGGTGGTGCTATAACGATCTGAAACGATCCGTGAATGTTTTTCTTTTTATTGTACACCTACCGTAACCCTAAAAAGGGTTGCCAGCATTCGGAGTAAACTGCTTTATTTACAGATCACATCACTTTCTAGACACTCTCAGAGTTTGAATGTACCATATGCAAAAGGAGGAAAGTTATGGAAGAAGTTGCAGAACTTAATTATCAGCCTATTAGTAAATTACCATCGTCGAATTACAACGCTTTCCATAATTCACAACCATGATTCTCAAGCAAATTTATATGTGCACAGCTAGTTTGCAAACCAACAAAGAGCGATCGCATTTTTTGCAAATTACCTTTTGTAGTGCGCCGATCTGAGCATTCTATTATAATTCAACACAATGACTACACGCAAATTTTTGATGTCTGCCTCTTAGAACCAAGACCTTCCACGGACCAGTGAGCATTTTCAGATAAAATCGCGCATACTGCCATCTACAGTATACCTACAGTACCTTCGAAGGGCTGACAAAGAAGATAGAAGTCATTTCTAGATTCAGAGCAAAAGAAAAATTCTGGAATGAGTTTGTACCAGAATAGTCGTTATTTTAACGAATTTCAAACCTTGACACACCATGTGTGTCAAGCGGTCCCACATGGTAGTCATAGTTTGACACACATGGTGTGTCAAGTGGTTCTCAATGTGTCAAAGTTGAAAAATTCTTTCAAACTCTTCATTGCTGTGAGTTTGCAGACTAGCTCAAAGATTCTTGTTGGAGGTGATTAAAATGTTCACAGGATGGAAACAAAAGTATTTGAGAAATGGGTAATTATTTCAGAAATGCAAAGGGCAATAATATCTTCTTCAAAATATTTGTTTATGTCTCAATGTACTCTCAATTTGAAAACTTGAAAATTTTTTTCAAACTTTTCACTGAAGGATTTGTAGAAAATGGAATTACCTACCTAGGTGGAATTGAAAGGTACTTGACAAGTGGGTATCTTCTAGCATTCAATATTAATATACAGTAGCCATCAGACTATTTTTTCAGTTCTAAAATATGCAAAAATGTGATTCAAGCGCCATTTTTAGAGGTGAGTTTTGCTTCATATGTCATTCGTTCAGCTACACATTCCCCGTATCCATTCAATTTAATTGCTGGAAACAGTAAAATATTTGCAGAGCGCAGCGGTGTCGCCTTTCATCGACAAGCATCGCCTCAGAGCATCGTTTTTCCGCACTCAGTTCCCATTACTTGCGTTCCGAACGCATTCTTTTGAAGCTTCTGGGGTTCTTTAAGGTTCAGGGCTTTGTCGTCGAGCGGCTAAAGAGGGTACTGCACATTTTGAAGTCTTTCGAACGACTGCAAAAAACGGCAAACAGCTGACATTCTAAGCGTTGCAAGAGGCGAGAAGCGCCAAAAAACAAACAGGTCTCAAATTCTTCTGCGCCAGGTGCTTTTACATTAAGCACTTTCGTTCTGAGATAAAATAGCATCAGTTTTTCAACGATTTTTTTGGTGGGTTGAGTCGGGCAAAGCAGATGAGGCATCAAACATTTAGATTCTATTGAATTCACCCCCTTGCAAAGAAAAATGAACTAGAAAATGAGGTGATTGTTGGCCACGACGCTCAGCAAAAGAGGACAAATCAACCACCACATTTCGTGACATTCAAAATCAATTCCAATCGAATTTCAGATATTCCTGAAGAATTCTTGCAATCGAAAAGCTAACGAAAGAAATGCAAAGCACCAAACTGAAGATAGTCAAAAAAAAAGATCTCACTTGTTATGTTACATAGATCAAAAATTCATCAGACAATTCGTAGTTGCGAGAAAAGGGAATATGAAAATTTTGAGGATTTTTGAAAAAAAAATATTAGCCAAGACAGGGTCAAAGCCCAAAGACTTACGGTTTAGTTTCTTGGCTAAGGAAGACTAGGATGACGAATTCTTTCAATTCTTTGAGATGCTTTGGAAATTCACTTTTTTACCTTTCACTTTGAAGTCACATTTTCTCAGGGCTCGGCGCGAGGTGACTTTCCGGGAATGCAAAAAACTCATTCCCCTTTGACTTTAGCAAAATTTTACGAAGTCCCCTTTGAAACTCTAAACGTAAAACACAACGTAAGTTATATTTTTTGTGACCACAAAAACGATATCCCCTTTGCTTCTTGTCCCAGAAACGATATCCAGCTTGCTGACAAGCCACCTTTGCCAAGCCCTGTTCGATATTCAGCTTTACCGTATTCTTTACAACAACCCCATCTCTTCCTTTTCATAATCATAATTCGAATAAATAATTTCCACACATGCCAAGTAAAAACCAAAGATTCCATAACATAATGGACCGAACATCCCAGGTAAACCGAGAACCGCTTATTTTCTTCGTCCGAAGCCATAATTCGAGATGGATGTACTTGGGGCAAATGCAAGGCCATATTTACAGCTTTTTGCCAATTGGACATACTCACATCGACATTAGGGAAGGGGGCAACAGTCGTACTACGGAGACAGATGGCTGCCTAATGAGCTTGGTCGACTTCTTCGATTTCGGTTAACGACGAAAAATTGTGTCCTTTTTATTGGTGTCACTTAGTGGGGGTCTCAGTTGGTGACTTAAAAAAATGAAGATAAAAATTCTAGAAGGAAAGGTTGGACATCAATGTTTGGAATAATTTTGTTAATCTGATGCGGAGGGGCAAAAACACTATGCAAAGCCATGAACCTGGAGACCTTGGAGATTTCGAAAGTTTGCTCTCAACAAACTTTTACATTTTTTTAGTGTCTACCATCCCACGTAAAATGATTATACGATTCACAAAAAAAACAAGTGTAATCAGTGGTTGACAGAACAGTAGAGAATGAATTTAGAATATTTTTGTCACATTTAGCACATATCGATTTGCATGGATTAGGCATACGTGAAAAAATAATAAGTGATTCAATAAAATTGAGTGTTAGTACACTTTCATTTCTATTGCATTTTCTCCTAAGTTGTATAAAGGTCAAAAATCATATATGAGAGTACAGGGTGTCTCAAAAGTAAGTACACAATTTCTGATCAATAATATCTTTTTTTTTACGAAATCTTTTGTTTAGTTTCAAGTAGATTTCAGTAGAGCAGGCTACATCTTAGATGTAGAGCTTTAGGATTTTTCAGATGAGTTTCAAATGTATCAGTCACATCTTTGAAAAACACTGAAAAAACGTTGTTGAGTTTACCTGGCATAACTTACGAAAAAACCCTTAAGGTGAAGTGCGAATTTCACATTCCTAATCAGCAACTCAATTCAGCTTACTGTAAGGTTTTCAGCTTGTGTTATTCCATTCTGGAGCTGTAGCCACTGGTTGCTTAGAACTCCCTTTGAAGTTCCTACTGTAGCCCTTGGTGGAAGATTCGCACTGTCAATCTAAGTTAGAACCTGCTCTACCAAATGATACTTAGAGCTAATCAAAACCGGAAAAAGTCATTAGCGATTAAAGGTGTGTACTTACTCTTTGGACATCTGTATAATGAATTTCCTAGCTGATTTTTTTTCGAAAATACATCAACTCAATATCAAAAAGATTATAAGCCAATGATAAATTTTGAAGTTTGCCGTTAGATTTTACTTCCATTTTGGCACACCTCACGCGATTTCAGCCGCGACGCATTTGGCAATATTCCGTTTATAATTCATCGAAAGTGCATTTTAAACGAACAGAAGATGGAGGATTTCCAACGATTTGCTAAAGCTGTACATAATGTGAAATTGTAGTCTGCAAGTGTTGAATTTGAAGAGATCTTGCCAGATCGCATGGCGACTGAATTCGCGTGAGGTATGCTCGAGACCCAATAAATTTCGAGGTAGCATTACCTATTAAAGATTAGAACTTGTAAAATTCTTTTCCTATATAATGTGCTTGCAACGGAGTGTTGTACACTATCGAATTACAGAACATGGGACTCAGTTTCCGCGAATAATTTGTCCCACTTCTCAATTTGCTACCGTGTGTACGCCCTCAGATTTCAAAGTGAAATTCTAGAGGGGGCACACGGCACAGGATTTCGGCAGTCGATGATCCCAATAAGTGGGGAAAGTGTGAGAAAAAAGCATCGACACTCATCAGAAACATCAGAAACCAGAGAACAGAAGAATGGTTCAAGAAGGATATGCGGAACCAACCTGCTCAGCATAAAACACCAGTACTTCCGTTCTTCGAGACACTTCCGATCCTCCTCGGTCGTATCCATGAAATGGCGTGATAGATTGCAGTTCATCGGGTAACCGTAGGGCTGGTTAAAGCCTTTGGCTTGACTGGCCACATAATGCTCGCCCATTTTCGCTCCTTTTCGGCGTCAGCACACCTGCATATGACCGAAAAAAACGTTATCTAAAATTGTTGAAGTGCATGCGAGCAGAATAAAGGGGAGAAAATTCGCTTTAGCCGAGATTCGATGTGGAAGTGCGCTTCATTCTGACTTGAGTCAAATTTGCATATCTTTACAATACGTGGAAGTCACTAAGTTGTTACATACTTATACAAAGTTACCAAAACTTTTAGTAATACTTACACAAAGTTACCAAAACTTTTAGTAATACTTACACAAAGTTACCAAAACTTTTAGTAATTCACAGCTCAAACGAAATCATTCCACTTGATTCGTTTTATTCAGGAAAGGTAATGATTTTTCTAGGATACTTAAAACCAAAATTCTCGTTGCCATATCGAAATGACACAAGCTGATAAAAAACATTCGAGAATATCTCCCTTTTTTACTTATGATTGCTAAAATTGCTAGAATGTTCAAAAGACATAATTTTAGTTTTTTTGAATTTCATAAATTGCTCTTTCTTTTTAGAAAACTTCTGTTCGTGGACATTTCCATGAATGATTACGATTTTCGAATTTTTTCATTTAACTTTTGGATTTTGATCAAAGTCAAAAAATCTCTGTCTCGTAAAATAGACACACAACACTTAGAATTTGTTATAAAAAACACGGCATAATTTGGAAAAATATATCAAACATTTCTAGCGCAGGATTTATGTAACAACCTAACGTTCAAAAGCTCTGAGAAAAGAGATCGAATACAGAAACCAGCGTGAGTTCTGCGTTGAGAAAATGATGGAAAAGTTTTAATTTTCGTCAGTTTTCAATAAAAATACAATGATTTAAGGATGACAAAAATCTTCTTGCATTTTATTTTGAGTTCTAGTACCTTTTTCTTTTGAATTCTATCGTTTTGCAGATGCTGGCTAAGACAGGATTACGATGAGCAGCAATTTGTCAGCAAAATGTCAGCACCATGGTAACAAACTGTAAATTGTTATGCTTCCTGTCTGCAAGCATTGCAAAATGAAATGTAACAATGGCAAGATCAAAATTCCAAAAATCAGACAGGAAATGAAAGAAACGGTTGTTTGGTCCAAGCAGTCATCTTTGAAATGTAATCGTATCAAATTATGGCGATGGAAGAGGATCAGACAACAAAGGAGATAATTTTTGTGGAATTCTAAAAAAGTTTTGATAACTTTAGGGTTTTTGAGCTGATGACCTCTCAGCAAAAAACCTCAGAATCTTGAGTTCATCTTCTGTAATAATGTTGTAACCACATTTAATGAACTAAATTTCAAATTCAAAGTATACTTTCTGGTTCACTTCGCATCGTTCAAAAATTTGAGATAATTGCAAATTTCTGGGTCTTGGATTACTGCATTGCGGTACTTTGATATCCGTTATTTGGACTATATTTTTACAAAGAGCATTTACGATGATTTACAAAGGCTATATGGAGTTCGAGTTTATAAGAAGAAGGAATTGTTCATTACTAAAATCCAAAAAGCTATAAATCACTAGTTTAATTACCCAACTGATAAAATCGATATTTGATGTTCAGTAAAATGTAAAAAAAAGCTGACGACAAAACGTGTGTTGCAAATTTTCAAATCAACGAATTCTTGATAAAATAGCAAAATGCGACGTTAGAAGCAAGTTTCAAGGCATGCTATTCTAATAACTTTTGCTTTACTGCAGATTTACACCTGTTGTTTTGCACTGCGCGCCAGCACTAAAACCAGCTGTACTCGTATTTCTCTAAGAAATTGCAGAGCTTGAAAATTTATCTGATGAAAAAGTTTAAATATTGGACAATAACTAATGTAAAAGTGCGTGACTAACTTATTTTGGATTTTGTTATTTTTCTTGCCTGAACTATTGTGCTAGTTTTCTTCCACTCTAGTTTTCTCAAGAAATGGGAAAGTGCAAGGAAATCCGGAAATTTTCCAAATTCGTCACGGCTCAATGGTCAGCGGATATAAGAAGTTTTTCGGCTCACCTTCTGAGTGCTAGCTCTATCCGCGGTGAAAAATTGTGGGGGTCTAGTCGGAGGTAGATCAAACACACTCTCAGCAATCAGTCAAATTTATTAACGAATGGAGCAGAGGGAGATGACGTCATCCGGGGCATCAGCTCCTCGCCTTCGGCATTAACTACACGGCACTAGCCAGAGGCGATAACTCTGCATGTCTCGTCCCCGTCCCCCGCCCTGCCTCGTCCTCGGCCCCCCGCCGCTCTGCCTCGTCACCGCCGCCCGATGAGGAGCGCCGTGTCTGCGCTCGCTGCCGCGCTCCACCAGTCCTCCTCCCTCCGGCGATTTTCCCGGCTTTCAGCCCTTTCAGCTTCCACACCGACAACCCCCACTCACCGGCCGAGATCGATCGGACCCATGGCAGCTCGTCCGAAGCGGCTCGACACCCGCAATCGTGTACGGACGACTTGCGCTGTAACGACCGACGCATGTGCCGTTCCGAACCAGATGGCCCGCCAGCCCATGCCTCTGCCATAATAACATTACATTCTCGCATCACCCATTCGCTAAATTTGACTGGCACTGAATGGACACGAGAGCTTGTATGAAAAAAGCTGCCTCTTTGTTAAAACGCTGCTTTTGCAAAAAACCAATTTTGGAGAAAAACTTTCGGATTTTGTGAATGAGGTGAGCTTAGCGCTCTAGTATTTCATCATGAGAGTGTGAAGCTTAAAAATATGCTGAAGATAGTGAGAGTTGCTTCTATTACTTTGCAAAAACAAACGACTATAAACCACTTGTATTAGAGTAACTTTTAAGATAACTGATTTAAGCGTGTGGAATGGTGAACATTTGAATATATCAATATAACATGAAAAAGAAAAAACAAAAGAAAAGTTTAATGAGAAAAATAATAGCCCTAATATTTTCTGATCATCCTGGACAGACTGATTGCACTGGTATTAAGTAACGTAAGTTACTGAGGTAAATTTTGTAATTCTTGAAGAAAAAACCCTCGCAACTTTCTGAAAATTTCTTGTAGCTTGTAATTTGATTGGAGAGTCGTAGTTTCTCGGTGTACACATGAAAAACATTTTTAATTCTCCACAAATTTCCCGAATTATTGGCAATTTATAACTTGCGTTACAGAAGAATCCGAACTGCCTTCGTATTAGATTGACGCTCTACGATATCCATGGAATATGTGAAAAATGAAAAATAATAAAAAAACTTGCAAAGCGTAAAAAATGGAGATTGAAACGCTGTAACAAAATGCATTTATAATTCTGTAAGTCATGTCTCTGTAGTTGAGAACGGTGACAATTTTGCTTTCTCACATATGCAAAAATGAAGTTTTGTCACAATCAAAGCTATCTCCAAAGGAAATCGAAGGAAATGTACCGAGACCTATGTTACGACTTCTACTTCTTGTAAAAAATGGTAGTCAAGCTAGTTGAATGGGCACTCGCCGTTATGTATCCAGAGTGCATATGTTGAGTGGTAAGAGTATAAAACCTGAAGTCATACTGATTATTGATAATGTCCAATGTCGAACAAATGCGCTAAAAGATGAGATTCGTTCTTGACTCGAAAAGGCGAAGAAATGGCTACAGGTCAAGGGTTTGAAAGGCACAAAAGCCAAAGTACATCTGTACTGACTAAATTGACAAATCCCACATAGGAATAGAAGGGAACTCCAATCATCGGTATCTCAAAACCTTCTGCAGGGAGGGAGAACAGGTGGTTCTTCTGAATGAATGAGGAGGCACCATCAGAAAAGCTTTTGGATTTGTTTCACAAATTTTTAAAAGCTCACAAAACTTGAGTACTCTAAAAAGGGGAGTGGGGAGTGGGCGCAAAATGGCCTAAACCCACGCCGACCAGAAGCTCCATAAAAAATTTCTATACATAGCATCGCTAAGCATCTAATTGTAAGTATGAAAAATGACACTTCGAAAGCTGTTGTGAATTTGTAGCACAGAATGATTGTCTTGGTGCTATGGATACTTGTTGTACACGTTATTGTCTAACTTTGCTAAACATATTACTGTTATTTTCCTGTAAATACCGTAAGATGACAAAAAAGAAAACTTCTCTCTATCCCATCACAAGTGATCCTTAACTGTGCCAATGAAATATGCTGAGTTTTCTGCATATTTAACTATAATTCTATGCAGGTAGTCTTTTCGAGCGATTTCATTCTAGTTGTTGCTACTATTTGACAATAGCTAGCATAGTTAACACATTGACGACAACGTAAATTCTGAGTTGTTTGTCTTTTTGGGACCAAGTCTTGTCACGGATCAATGCACATTTTTTCAAATAAAATCACGCATAGTTCCACCCACAGTATACCTACAGTAACTCTGTTAGACTCACAAATTAGATGGAGGTTATTCCTAGCTTTAGCGCAAAAGGGGGAACTCTTGAAGTGACTTTTTCCCAGGCTAGTCGTCATTTTACTAAATCCACACCTTGACACACCATGTGTGTCAAGCGGTCCCACGTGGTAGTCATTGCTTGACACACCGTGGGTGTCAAGCGGTCGTCATTGTGTTAAGATCCAGTGTCTCGGTTAAGTGGTTTAATTCGTTCTTTGAATACTGAATCACTAGATTACTGAATTTTGACTTCTGCATTTTTCACCCCTCAAATTTGAAAAAGGGCAACAGTTACGACATAGCTCTTTTGGCCTTTAAAATTTTGCTAGTTGTTCTAAATAATTGTTCCTAGTCATACGGTCCTCGTCGATCTACCTCGGAACTTACAAGAAAATTTGACGAGCTACTCATTCTTGAGAGGAGAATGACGCTGTCCTATGTACTGATAGGCAATGACACCCTTTGTGGATAACAATTTACGAAATCTAGTAGCTTATTCAAGGTAAATTGCGAATTTATATGTGAGAGATAGCATTTAGTTTAACGGCGAGAGATTTATAATCCGTATCGAACGAGAGTCGTTAAAAGTCGAAATTCAAAGAAAATTTTAAAAGCTCAAAATGTGCAACAAAACGGTATACGATTCTTTCAAGAACTCTCATAAGTTTATTTAAAGCATCGAGTTGATTAGAAAATCTAGAAGAGGTTCACAATAAGTACTTTCACGTCAATCCGCTTTGTTTCAAACCAAAAATCACTTTCCGTTACAAAGATTTATATTGTGAATTATACTTGTGCTATCTTGTGATAAATACAATCAGACTGGAGTTCATGAAAGTCATGAGTTCACCTTCATTTTTGAGTAACTACGTTTTCGCTATTATGAAAATTGTAGTGGAAGAACACGTACACAGTAGTAACATGAATCTATTGAATTCTATCCCTCTGCGCCTTAGTCAAATCAAACCGTAATGCACTAATCTAAAAACAAAGCAAAATTATTGTTTTTACCCTGCCATTTACCAATTTTCATGATTTTCTAAAGGCTGAAAACATATTTCTTTCCTGTTTTTAGATGCATGACGTCATCGAAGAAAGTGCAAGAACAGCTCGGCTAATGCTCCTTAGGGATAACCAAACACATGACAAACACTTGCTCGCCTTTGATAGGAAAAACGAATAGCGGCAACCCACATGAACCTTTCTCAAATTTCCTCTCACTACGTCATGCTTGAAACGATTCAAAGTAGTCCATAGCAATGTAATTTATGACTGGAAAAATTTGTTAGTTGAGAAGGCTCGCCAAAGATGCCAGGTACTTGCTATAATAAGTGGACACAAATAGATAGTGTTAGGTACTCAAACGCGAAAGTTGATGAGGTGAACAAACGTACAGGGCATAAATAAACTTTCAGAATGAAGTTTTCATAAGCTTTCTCTTAGCACGAGCAATCTTTTGTTTTTATCGGTGACTAGAAACAGAGAAAAGTATGAAAAGTTCGCATCTGTTGATGTATAATCATGATGGCATCTTCATATTCGCAGGTTTTGCTGCATTTGGTCCCAATTTTTTGCACAGCAGAGATATATTTGAGAACTGGAAGCGGATTTGGATTTAGAACCAATCTTTTGGATTAGGTCTTTTCTTTTCGAGGCTTTCCTTTTTAAAAAAAATCAAAACTAACAGCATATAATCAGCGAGGAACGTTTCCGGGACATACTTGGGCTACCGACATTAACAGTTCTTCGAGCAAAATCCAATGAAGAAACGGATTTCATTTAGCCGAAATATTAGGTCGTTCCGAAAGTCCGTTTTTTCAACCTATTATAAAAACACATGGAATGAAGGAAGGGAAGCGCTTCAAGCGCTATCCAATGCAATTTTACTTCCTCTTTTCAACAGTCATAATTCTGTATCGCTTGCTCTTGTGGTCAGTGAGATAATGGCCGAAATTTCGAACCCATGGTTTTTACAATGTCCAACTTTGCTAATTTTTCATAAATTTCTTTTTTGACTTTTGGAGAAGCTTCAACAGCAGTCGGATAGAGTAAACAAAGTGCAATTTAATGGAAATTTTTGGCAATTTCAATTGGCTTCTCAGTATTTTTTGAGACAACTATTCCAGAAGTCTTCACTTTTTCGGAGTCGCAAAACACACAAACGCTCCGAACATCAGCAAATCTTCGGATTTTGACACTATCAAAAGTCGTTTATGATTGTTCACTATTTTTACAAAGCGACTGAGTGTTTACCGCTTCGAAATGAATGATTTCGCATTTCACGTCTGCACCCTTAGGTGGAGTCAAAATCAAGAATTATGGAGATTTTATCGCCAAAAACTCCCACAAATTGAGAAGAAAAATACATAATAGAAAGAGGAGGAAAAGCTGCATCGAATGACATCTTAATTGTGAGCCGTTTTATGTTCTATGGTTCTTGGCATCACCAAAAGTGGAATTTGATAGCATCAGAAAAATAATTCTAAAAAAATTTTAGGGCTAGCTAGATGCTAAAAAATTCCATTAAATTGCACTTTGTTTACTCTATCTGAGTGCTATTAAAGCTTCTCCAAAAGTCAAAAAAGAAAACTGTGAAAAATTGCCAAAGTTGGACATGGTAAGAACCATGGGTTCAAAATTTCGGCCATTATCTCACTGACCATCACAAGCGCAAACGGCACAGGAATACGGCAGCTGAAAACAGGAAGAAAAGCTGCGTCGGATAGTGCCTGACGCGTTTTTCTTCTTTCATTCTACATGTTTTTATGTTAGGTTGAAAAAACGGAAAGAACTTTCGGTACGACCTAATATATGTACAAATTC